TCAAGAATTATCGCGATTTGACCCATAAATAAAAATAAATATTAACGTCAAATCTTTGTTTTATTCACCTTTCTTCTGTTAAGAATCATCCTGCCAGTAGAGCCTTTCTTTCGCTTGCTTGGTTTTGGCGTACTTGTACTTGTGAAAGATTCTGCATGAGTCAAGGAAGCATGCCCGGTACGTTTCTAAGTTGTAGTTTCGTTGGCCACATGTGACGTCAAAAGCCTTACAACAGCAAATTTTAGCTGAAACTTGTCCCATAAACAGGCTGTTTACAGCTAGCGGTTCACGTGGTACAAAATTGCCATACTGGAGAACAAGAGATGTACTGGGACAACCAAAACGAAGGAAAAATGCAATTTTAAATGATGTCAGCTCTTTGTTTGTGTTGTCCCAGTACGTCCTTTGATCTCCAGCATAGTAGACACACTGATTCTAGACTGAGAAAACAGCTGACATTTCGTGACGCCACCACTGGCTTCCCTGCGAAAAGACGTTTAAGGAAAGACCGCAGACGACGCATCAGTACCCAGATCTAAGTAGTGCATCTGACTGGTTCAAGCAAATTTCCCATCCTTCCTGACCAGTCGTATGTGGGTGGCGTTGCGTCATCCGTATGGAGTTTCTGTGAGTCGTATACCAGAGTAGACTCAATTAACAGCGGCTGTTTGTGAAATGAGCCCACGCTCCTCCTCTGAACAGACGGCTGGACGCATGAGTTTGCTGTTGTCAATTACCACCAATCAGGCCCCGGTTGCTCGAAAGATGGTTAATTTAACCACATGTTAATTGGTAACGGTTGGTTAAATTTGCTAACCGTGGGTTAACTAACTGTTGGTTAAATTCCCGTTGCTCGAAGGTCTGTTAAGCAAACGCGAATCCTTTGTTAGCTAACCAATGTTTAAATAAAATATACCAGACTTTAACCATCTCCGAACAGGTTTGACAAGTTTTTCCAACGAAAAGTTTTAGGGAGCTTTTAATAGGGACCTCACTAAACTACGACGGCGAGGGCAACGGCAACGTCAGAAAGCAATAGGTTTAGATTAGCAGAACAACAACTCTGTACGACCATGACGTTTTTTTTTTCTTTCCCGTCCCTGCGCGACTACGACGTGAAATGACCAAATTTAAAACTTTTTTGAGGACTGGAACGCCAAGGCGATAAATTCTGCCATCTCTGTCTGAACTCGGGTGCGGCCCCTTCTCTTCAGCTATTACATAAAAAATTCCCTTCGTTTAAGTAACTGGCGTCACTGCACGACTACAACGTGAAAATGCCTAATTTCATTTTTTTTAAGGAGTACGTTAACAAGTGACAACGAACTTTTCTTTCTCTCTCTAAACTTAAGGGCCGTCTCCAAGAAATCAACTCCAGGGAAATTCTCCTACATTTGACATTTTCCGCGAATTGGAATAAACGCGACATTATTTAAGTATGAAAAAGCTCGAATTCACGTTAAAAGTTACGTTTTCGCTACCTTCGCCATCGTCGATGCTAAAGCTCCCTTTTTACTATATTCTGTTCAATTTTAACAGTAAAATGGATGCCGAAAATTCCTTGCATGAGCTTGAAGCTGTTGAAGTCCCTGCTGTCAATAAAACCGCAGGCAGCAAACGAAAACACCATTTTTCAGCGCAAGAAATTGCAAAAATATATAGCTCAAAGGTTTGAAGAAAATCAAGCAGTACTGAAATCAAAGTTTATACCGAACACAACCACTAACAAAATGAAGCGAACGTCATTTCAACCGATAGTTAACAAGTTAACACTAGTAGCGAGGTACGTTAAATTTAACGCATATATGGTTAGAAGAAATTTAACCCAGGGTTAACACTAACCGGCGTTTGAGCAACCGAAACTAACCCTCAGTTAACTTTTAACCATTAGTTAAGGGTTAGCCATCTTTGGAGCAAGAGGTGCCAGATAGTTACCTGCTCAAATCGAGCAGGCAACATAAATTTATTTTCCTGCAGCACGAGATTTCAAACGAAGGACGCAAATTTGTTGTTTGATGTGGCGTGTTATCGTGTTTAAGAGCGTTTTAAGCTTAAAACCTAAAATATTTAAAGTATTAGCTTAGAGAAACTGGCAAATGGTAGGTATGATTGTGAAGTTCAAACAATCGCAACTATAGTTGTTGACAGCTAACGTGAAAGAGACGACTGTCAAGTCCATCGGTAATGCAAGATCGATGTAAATAAAATCCGTACGCGTTTCTGCTGATTTTTATAGCAAATACCAAGGCGACAATAAAATAAAGAACAACATTTCTTCGGTATTTAATTTCATTCCCCATTTCCAATGTTTGGTAACGACGCATAAATTAAAGTTTTGAACTTACGTCACAGACGCGATAGGCCACTCACGTGTCCAGCCGTCTCTTCTCGGGGAGGACCGAGAGAGCGGCGAAAATCGAGCCTAATATTCGAGGTCCTTATCACGAAAAACCTTGCGTGTCTTGTATGCCACTAAAGTTAAGTAACCCTTTTCGGGTGGGGTCAGGAACTGGATGGGTTTCTAACCGAGAATATATGCTTAAGTCCGTTGGATAGTGATTCGTCTGGTAGAAAGCACTATCCAACGTTTGGACAACCGAAGGCAGGAAAATAAGCAACGCTTGAACGTGGCGCAAATATCAGCACTTTCTAGGCTGTCTAATATGTAAAACATAATAGTCTAGAGAGCATTTTACTTCAAACCAAACACTGTATTTTCCATTTTTGCACAAAATGAACATAACAATAAACATAAGCTAAAAGAGACTTAAAAACGGAACCACAAAAATATTTTCCTTTGTCGCGAAAGCGACACGTCTACGAGATAAGGGTACAAATAAAAATTTCAAGCGTCAAAGTTCCAAACCTAACACCGCTCCTAAATATATAAAAAATATGAACGACAATGCTGCCTCAAAATTTAACCACTGACGTAATGACGCCCGTGATCGGAATCATCTATGTTGATGTGATTACTGGGAAAACGGCCGATAAAAGAACAGCCGCAACACTATCAAAGTTAATAAGGAATGTCAAAAAACGCACCTTATTATAAGGATGAGGCCACACAAATAGCTGCTTTGTGAGTAACGAATAGCTCTCACTTTCGTGAGGCCTCATCGCTAAAATCGTTTTGTTACACTTTTAAATTTCCTTTAAAGCCCACTCGTCAACAGGGAAAGTTCTTGCACACAACGCAGTATATCTTCAAACCATTAGTCTCCCGTACAAAACATCCGCAATTTATGCTTCTTTTGCTTCGCTGTGCTGCGGCCACAAACTATATGAGCCGAAAACAAAAAAGTTCCAAATGTAAACTTTTTGCAAATGATTGACACCATAAAAACTGTCTTGTTACCTTTTTCAACGAAAACAAAACAGCAGGTTCCTGAGGGTCTTCAATCCCTAAAAGCATCAATCGAACAAGAAACTGAAACTGAACTTTTTTGCAAATGATCGAAACCACAACAAGTGACGCTAGACTGTAAATGTTAAGAAACTCTTTCCTCGTCTATTTACAGAAAACAGTTTAAGTGTCTTAAGTGTTCAAAGAGTCTGCCATCACTAAATGCACCAATCAAACCAGAAACTAAAACTGAAACTACGACAATACAAGGGTCGCGCGCTTTAGCCTGAATTTCATCCGATTACTTCGAGTCGTTATTACTCCCTCAGTAACGTCTGAATCGACCAGCCGTTAATGCCGTCCAGTGACGTCACTACACCTTGACCTTTACTTTAATTCATGCAAAACGTAAAACACGATTTTCAAGTGGCAAACCGAGAAATATCGTTTGAAAATGTCTACATGACACAGAATTGCTTTATTTTTTTCGATCGTAATTTATGTTTAACGTTAAAACTATCAACTGCTTGCGGTCTCAATCACGCAATGAAATAACACATACACGGGACCCTTAGTACAAAAACACAATAATTTGCTGTAATTGAAAGGAAGCTATTTCGTCCTTAACGAAGAAAAAAAAACAAGGAAACAAGAAAGAAAAGCTAACAGAATCATTACACCTGACGGTGAAAATAGCAAGATGGTCGAATTATAACATTGATCTTAAAAAACTTGGCATAAACAAAATCACCGGCCGCCGAAACCACAAAGCGGCGCTCTAAATGAAAAACCTACCGACTCTCCGCAATGATTCTTTAATTTAGCTTTTTTAGTTTCGAAGACAAGGGCAATTTTGCTGTTTAAGATAAAGATTAGGCTTATCGAAATGTTTGAACTACAGGAAAGATTGCAAGGGATGCGATCCGCTGAATATCAAGCGACAATCCCGCTAAAATTTTTCATAATTATACATAATTATGAGAATGTTTAGACAATCAACCAATTAAAACCACTACCTGGTTTTCGGGTAGTGAGTGACGTCACTGGACGGCATTAACGGCTGGTCGATTCAGACGTTACTGAGGGAGTAATAACGACTCGAAGTAATCGGATGAAATTCAGGCTACTCGCGCTTACCAGAAATGAACTTGTAATGAGGGTAAACGGTGCAAATGATTCGCGATAAAAAGCATAACTTTTGAACTTTTCTTAAAAGCAATCCTGGTTCGTTTCTTGCTTGAAAAAACTTCCCACTTCTAACAAAACTCAAATAGTGTTTTGTGTTGAACCTTTTTTCACACTCCACTTTCTACAAACCATCAAAAGTAGCCTTCTAATAACATTTTCCTTAAATTTTCGCGTTAATTGAAACAAAGCAACTACGTTTTTGATACCCTCTACTTAGTGTTGAGAGTCGGTTCTAACATGCTATCAACTGGGAAGAACATTAACACTTTAAACAATTAGGAAAATTCTTTTAAACAAACAAATCACCCAGATCCAAATTAATTTAACGTTTAGTTAAATAGCTTACATTTACAAGGAAATATTAATAAATCACACAATTTTGAATACGTTAATTAAATTTATGACGTTTGGTGCAGTAACCTCATATGGTCATCATAATGTTGACGAAGCAGCGGCTTGGTCTTAATCATCCTAAGACAAATCCAACAACGGTGTCTTTCTTCGTGTGCTTTAAGAGATGTCCTCCAACAAAAGGCCTTGTTACACTGCTTGCACCTGAAAGGTTTTTCCCCGTGTGTATTCGTTCATGCGCTCTCACATATCGTTCCCAGCGAAACGCCTTCTCACAATGGTTGCACTTAAATGGCTTCTCACCAGTGTGTATTCTTTCATGTTTTTTCAGATTTCCTGCCTGGCTAAAGGCCTTGTTACAGTGCTTGCACTGAAATGGCTTCTCACCAGTGTGTATTCTTTCATGTGCTTTCAGACTTCCCGCCTGGCTAAAGGCCTTGTTACATTGCTTGCACTTAAATGGCTTCTCACCTGTGTGCGTTCTTTCATGTACTTTCAGACTTCCTGTGTGTCCAAAGGCCTTGTTACAATGCTTGCAATTAAATGGCTTCTCACCTGTGTGCGTTCTCTCATGTTTTTTCAGACTTCCTGCCTCGCTAAAGGCCTTGTTACAATACTTGCACTTAAATGGCTTCTCACCTGTGTGCGTTCTTTCATGTACTTTCAGACTTCCTGCCTGGCTAAAGGCCTTGTTACAATGCTTGCAATTAAATGGCTTCTCACCTGTGTGTCCTCTTTCATGTACTTTCAGATTTTCTGCCTGGCTAAAGGCCTTGTTACAGTACTTGCACTTAAACGGCTTCTCACCACTGTGTCTTCTTTCATGAATTTTCAGATGTCCTGCTTGGCTAAACGCCTTGTTACACTGCTTGCACTTAAATGGCTTCTCACCAGTGTGTATTCTTTCATGTTCTTTCAGACTTCCTGCCCGGCTAAAGGCCTTGTTACATTGCTTGCACTTAAATGGCTTCTCACCAGTGTGTATTCTTTCATGTTCTTTCAGACTTCCTGCCCGGCTAAAGGCCTTGTTACATTGCTTGCACCTAAAAGGCTTCTTACCACTGTGTGTTCTTTCATGTCTTTTCAGATCTCCTGCTAGGCTAAACGCCTTGACACAAAGCTTGCACTTAAATGGCTTCTCACCAGTGTGTATTCTTTCATGTACCTTCAGATTTCCTGCCTGCCTAAAGGCCTTCTTACCTGTGGGTGTGGGTGCAAACACTTAAAAAGTCACATTTTCTTAGTGTTAACAGTAACGTCAAAACAACTCGTCAACGTAATTGCCATATGAGTGGAGGTGGGTTGGTTATTAAATTATAAATGGAATGCCCACAGCCAAAAAAAAACATCAATGTTAGGGCAAAAACAAGAGACGAAGAACGGAAATACTTCTGCTCCAGATACATGGAGAATTTAGATCAGATGTAATGAGTCCATAACCTCAAATGAAATATAAAGAAGCACGCCAGGGTGACATCACTCACATAAATAATAAGAGTTACAAAACATCAACATGACACAAATAACTTAAGACAGCTTTGAATCTAAAGCAAAATTGATATTTTTTCACATTTCCTTTTTACCTTCAAAGTTTGCTTTCTACACCTAACAGTTTCTTGTGCGGTTTAAATAAATATGATATTAAATCGATGTCAACGCAACCTAGACGCTAGCTTACGCTTCACTGTTATGATCCTTTGTTTTTGACCTGGTAATACAGCTTGGCAAAAAATGTCTGATTTGTCTCGTAAAACATACAGCTAATACACGTACCTCTCAATGTCATCATCTGTGAACGTCGCATGAGCAAAGATGGCGACTTTCCCATGTCTTCCCATGCTCCTTTGTTTCTTCTTAAAAACCCTCATTCCCAGTTCCCATCGCGTTCAAGATGGTCCAAACTGACAGAAATATTTGTTTTAATTCAAAAATATACACCATCTTTATTCGATTAACCACCCCCCCCCCAACTGTTTATGTAAACATTTCTAGAGTGTCCTATATTAAAAATTATTTTAAAAACTTCAAAAATTACTGACAACAATTATGAAAAATTATTTAGAAACATTTATAAAGCAGAAAGACTTTTAAAGTTCCAATGTGTCGCTTTTTTGCTGAGATGGAATAGTTATTGTCTGGATGATGTAGATTAAGTTGCCCCAAGTGCTTCACGCATAATGTTTGAATAAACGCCGCCTTGCTCTGAATGGGAGCGGTATTATAGGATAGTTTTCCATCTGCGGAGTTTACAGTCAAGCGTAAAATCACCCCCTCTCCACCAAAAGTTGAATTAATAATTTCATTATTGGAAGCTTTTATAAATCGGCCTTTGGTTGTGAATTTCAGTTTCATTTCTGCACTCCTGCATACTTAGTGAGCAATAAAAATCACACACGAGGTAGTTATGAAATTTCTCCAAGGTCGGTTTTCTTGAATTTGATGCAAACGTCCTTAAAGCAATTTTACCCATTTTAAGTAAAGATTTTTCAATCTCAGGATCGAATACAGAGAGTTTTCCGCCTGTGCCATCGATTTCACAGAACAAGTACCAACTCCGGATTCCAGTTAAAGATCCGGTTTGCCGATTGCGGATTGCGGATTCCTGCTTTTATGCCGCAAACGCGAATACGGAGAAGTTATCTTGAAAAAGTCATTGTTCATTATGCGCATGCAGGAAAACAGATTTGAATTTGAGGCTGGTTGAGGCAACGACTAACACATTCATTTCTTCAAATCATCGCTTCACTAATGAAATCTGGGGGTACGCTTGACTAGTCTTGATTGTAATCATCGATGACGGCATTTTATTGAGTAAATACGGCATAGACAGAGGTCCAAGGGATGATAATTTAAATTAACGTAAAACAAAAACAATCTCACACAATGGAAAGTTTCTCGGTAATATCAGTTGTGGCCTGTCATTTACCGCCTTGCTAGAAGAAGTCCTCCCATCAAACGAACCTTCGAGTATCCACAGGCGTCCCAAGCTCACGTTACGAGTAACTTTCTCAATAGAGAGTCGGTGTCGTGTTACAAGCAATCGTTGAGACTTTGTATGAGAAATAAAATACTAAGGTCTGCGAACGCTAAATATCATAAATCTTACCTATTTTTCTATAAAATAAATAAAAGAGACTTACCTTAGATGTATTCCTGTCTTTTTTGGTGTAAATTCATCGATTTTGTCGGTTTTTTGGCTGTTATTGTTTGACCCTCTCACTCTCTTATCACGAGGCCTACCAGATCTTCATCCAGTGGTGTTATTAAATTCGTAGAGCCTAAATGTAGGACAGCAACTTATCAAAAGTCCAATATCATCAGATGCATACGCGTCTGGAACGTTGTTGCTGATGAACTGAACCTGCGCATGAACGCCCTTAATGATTTTAAACAGGCAATGGTAGAGTATAACAAAACCGCCTTAAGTAATTATAGGACTGTGAAAATCCCCACACTTTTAAGTCTGTCTGTCTTAAATGCAATAAGTGTCGTAGTCTTGCCCAGCCTATCTCGTGTTGTGATCATGTACAGTGAAACCTCTATTAAGCCGACCCCCAATTAAGCGGACACCCTCTCTTAAGCGGACCCCCAATTAAGCGGACACCCTCTATTAAGCCGACCCCCAATTAAGCGGACATCCTCTATTAAGCAGACACTAAGCCGGGTCCCGAAACAAACGTCTGATATTTCCCTTTATATTGGACCCCTATTCAGCGGACACCTATATTCTTGAGCGGACGCGGACACTAAAATAAGTTGTATTTGGCTATAAATTTCTTTTGTTAAAAGCTTCTGTTAAGCGGACACCGGACTGAATTGACAATAGTAGTACTGGATTACGTCCTTGAAATACTTACTGAAGTCAGCTAATGTTTTTGCATTTACAAACAAATTAAAGTTAGTAATGAAAGGTAATGAACCTTAACTCTAGATAGCTTCTTTAATAACATGCAACTTTATCACAGTACAGAGTAACTGTTGAATGTTGATCGTTAACAAACATTGCGCAATTTTTACCACCTCTATTAAACGCACTGACCCTCTATTAAGCGGACACTTGGGAAGGTCCCGAAGGTGTCCGCTTAATAGAGGTTTCACTGTATTTTAAATATTCTATTATTTTAATTATCTGGGCCCGCAGTAATTGGCTCACGTTGTTGCGGAATCCCCGCCATTTTTTTTGTTGTTGTTATTTTGTTTAGTTACCCTTCTTATGTATTTGTATTTGTATATATATTATGTTGGCAAAACTAATAAAATAAATAAAATAAATCAATTCCTTACCGCGCTTCGATGGTTTAGTTTCAAACAGAGGTATGGAGGCTAAAACTATTAAATACATTGTTTGATTTCTTTTCATATTTTTTTTGCTATCGGCTTATTTCTCTTATTTCATACTGTTGGCCCTTTACACCTACGCTAGGTTTTGCGATAAACGTATTTTACATTTTGGAAAATACCGTAAAATTTCGAAAATAATCCTCGGGGCTTATATTTTTGAGGAGCTTATTTTTGGAAGGGCTTATATTCGTAGAGCGAAATTTACGTTTCAAAATCGGTTACGTTTATACTGGGAGGGAAATGTGCGTCTCAAAATCCATCGGGCTAACCTATAGTTGGAAGGGTATTTTTTGTCGGTAATTTGTGGCAAGTTTTTACCGAAACTCGCTTTGAAGACGTAGATCTTTCTAAAACTCAACCATGCAAGTACTTTTTTTACATGTACCGAGGAAATCAAAGTCAAGACTGAATACTGAACTACGCAAACAGCAAAAAACTGTAAAATCTTCTAACTACAATCATTTGGCACACGTAATACAGTCAAACCTCTTTAATACGGACACCAAAGGGACAGAACCAAGTGTCCGCTTTACAGAGGTGTCCGTGTTATAGAGTAGAGGTGGGAAATGTATGAGTTTTGGTATTTCTGGGACCAAACGAACTGTCCGTAATAGAGAGGTGTCCGTAAGGAGAGGTTAGACTGTATTTCTTTGGAAAATACAAACATTAATGTGTTACTGTACAGTTTTGGCCTTGTTTTATTTTGAATTTGAGGGCAATTTCCGAGTACAATCAATTTGGGGCTTTTCTTCGTTCCTCAAAAAAAACCTTTGTTAAATATCAGACAATTGACTACCCTGCGAGCAGTGGTTTCTCCAGGCCAGACGCTGCACTACGAAAGGAGAGAAACCGCTATAATTCAAATATAATCCTCACTGATAAGTCAGTCTTCCTCACGCTGTTTGAGGTATAAGGAATAATGTGTGAATTTGAAATAGATCACATATACAATCACATATAGTTAATATGAGTCGCTGATGCTTCATTGTTACTTCCAGTGCAACTCAACATAATATTCTCACTGCATACAATTGGCACCTGACGTGGGAAATGAGTAACTCCTTAAATTTCCGTCGTGTTGGGCCTGCGCGCTGGTGGCATAATGCATTGTTGCCGTTGGTTTGAATCGCCCGATTTCTGTCCGCCTCTTGGCCAGTTCAACGGAGTTAGTTGAAGTGACTTCAAAGTTTCGTAACCTTCCACCTCCCCTGGTGACGGTTGATCTCGGATACCCTCACTACTCTGCATGCTTATTGTCCTGGCAGTCGCTGTTTCCTCCCATAACTTAGTTCCTCGTGTCGGGACAATAGGCATGCAGTGCGAATATTATACGACAGGAACAGTTTTCGCTCGCTTAGTTCTCTGCTGTTCTTTGAAGATCTACTCGGGGATTATCGCGATTCGAACCAAAAATAAAAATAAATATTAATGTCGAATCTTTGTTTTATTCACCTTTCTTCTGTTTAGAATCATCCTGCCAGTAGAGCATTTCTTTCCCTTGCTCCATTTTGGCGTACTTGTGAAAGATTCTGCATGAATCGAGGAAGATCTTTGTTGACCATGCGCGGCACGTTGCTAAGATATAGTTTCTAACCCAGGCCTTTAGTCGTGCGCTTGCTTCAGCCGCCTCGGTTATGACCATTGGTTTAAATATAGATGGATGCTCACACTCGAAAAAAACTAGTTTGACGACACAAAACAAGATTGTTTTGTCCAGAAGTTCGGGATGCAGCGACCTCAAAGGTTTGACGTGATTCAGGCAGAGCTTCCTTTTCTCCTCCTCAGCCAATGAGGCTCTGCTCGCGGGGTGTTGAGAAGCTACAATCCTGGACAAAAGGCCTGGGGAAAGCGATACAATACTCGAGATTCCTGTAATTTCTGGTTGTCGTAAATCGCCTTTAACGTCGCTTGTGGGCTGAGAAGAGGGGTTGGTTCGACTTGAAAACGCCTCACAACAGCAAATTTTAGCTGAAATCTGTCCAATTAACAGGCTGTTTACAGCAAGCGGTTCACGTGGTACAAAATATCATTCTGGAGAACAAGAGATGTACTGGGACAACCAAAACGAAGAAAATTTTGATTTTAAATGATGTCAGCTCTTTGTTTGTGTTGTTGGCAGTACGTCTCTTGCTCTCCAGCATAGAAGACAGACTCGGATTTCAGACTGAGAAAACAGCCGACATTTCGTGACGCCACCACTGGTTTCCCTGCAAAAAGACGTTTAAGGAAAAACCGCAGGCGACGCATCAGTACCCAGAGCTCGGCAGTGTATCTAATTGGTTTAAGCAAATTTGTCCCGCTTCATGACCAGTCGTATCTGAGTGGTGTGACGTCATTGGTATGGAGTTTCAGTACGTGGTATACCAGAGTAGGCTCAATTACCAGCCGCTGTTCGGGAAATGAGCCCACGCTCCTCCCCTGAACAGACAGCGGAACGCATGGGTTTGCTATTGTCAATTACCACCAATCAGATAGTTACCTGCTCAAATCTAGCAGGCAGCTTAAACTTATTTTCCTGCAGCATATTTCAAACGGCGGATGCAAATTCGCTGTTTGATGTGGCGTGCTATCGTGTTTAAGAGCGTTTTAAGCTTAAACTTAAAATATTTGCAAGGAAAAGTATTAGCTGAGAGAAACTGGCAAATGGTAGGTATGTTTTTGAAGTTCAACCAACCAGAACTATGGTCGTTGACAGAGTGAAAGAATACAATCCGTACGTGTTCCTGTTGATTTTTTCGCTGATTTTCGTGGCAAATGCCAAAGCGACGACGAGGCAAAGCACAAAATTTGTTCGGTATTTAATGACACATCTCATTTGCAATGTTTGGTAAAGGCGCATAAATTAAAATTTTGAATTTACGTCACAGCCACAATAGGCCACTCACGCGTCCAGCCGTCTCTTCGCGGGTAGGACCGAGAGAGCGGCGGAAAACGAGGCTAATACTCGAGGTCCTTATCTTGCAAAACCTCGCGTGTCTCGCATGCCACTAAAGTTAAGTAACCCTTTTCGCGTGGGGTCAGGAACTGGATGGGTGTCTAACCGAGAATATATCCTAAAGACTCCTAGTACTGTGGGATTCATTTAATGAATTCAATGATCACTTCAGGACCCAGTGTTCAAGCGCTATCCGCTAGACAAAGATCTCTAGTGCATAATGTAATTGTTCCCATTAATACTTATCCATTGGGCAATGATTTATCCGGTGGAAAGCACTATCCAACGTTTGAACAACCAGGGGCAGGAAAATGAAACGTATTTCCGATACACAAAGCAAACAAAGGAAAACTCGTGACGCAAATTTTAACACTTTCTAAACTGTTTAACATGTAGAACATAATAGTCCAGAGAGCATTTTACTTCAAACTAAACACTACATTTTCCATTTTTGCGCAAAATGAACGTAACAATAACCATAAGCTGAAAGAGACTTAAACACGGAACCACAAAGTAATACTTTTTTCTTTCTTATGAGAGTAACACGTCTACGAGACAAGGGTACAAAGAAAAATTTCAACTGTCAAGGTTCCAAACCCAACACCGCTCCTTAATCTTAAAACAATATCAACAATGCTGCCTCAAAATTTAACCTCTGATGTAATGACGCCAGTGATCAGAATCATCTACAATGATGTGATTACTGGGAAGATGGCCGATAAAAAGAACTGCCTCAACACCATATCGGATAATAAAGAATGCCAAAAAACTCAACTTATTATATATAAAGATAAGGCCGCACAAAAAGCTGCTTTGCGAGTAACGAATAGCTCACTTCCGTGAGGCCTTGTTGCTAAAATCATGTTGTTACACTTAAACATTTCTTATAAAGGCCACTCGTTAAAAGGGAAAGTACTTACACACAACGCAGTATATCTCCAAATCAAGAGTCTCTCGTATAACAGATCCCCAACTTATGTTTGCTTTGCTTCGCTGTGCTTCGGCCACAAACTTTATGAGCCGAGAACAAAAAAGGTTCAAAATCTCAATTCTTTCCAAATGATTCACACCATAGCAAACGTCTTGGTACTTTTTTCTGGCAAAAAGGAGGTTCTTGAGGATCTCCAATCCCTAAAGGCATCAATGAAACGAGAAACTGAAACGGAATTTTATAACAAATGGTTAGACCACACAAATGGATGCTTGACTGTAAATGTAAAAAAACTCTACCCTCGTCTATTTACGGTTTCTTTTTTAAGAAAACACCTCAAGTGTCCAAGGAGTCTGCCACCACTAAATGCGCTAATCAGACCAAAATCGAAACTAAAACTACTACGATGCAATGGGCGCGCGCTTCCCAGAAAATAAATTACAATGGCCTAAAGGGTGCGAATGATTCTCTGTAAAGAGCATAATTTTTGAACTTTTCGTAAAAAAAAATCGTGGTTCAACTCCTGCTTGAATAAACTTGTCTCTTTTAACAAAACTCAAATAGTGTTTTGTGTGGAACGTACTCACACACTAGACTTTCTACAAGCCTTGAAAAATAGCCTTGTAATAACATCTTACTTTAATTTTTGCGTTAATCGAAACAAAGCAACTATGTATTTGACACCCCCTATTTAGTGTTGAGAGGTCTAACATGCTATCAACTGGGAAGAACAGTAACAGTCTAAACGATTAGGAAAGTTCCTTTCAACAACCAGGAAAATGAGCCAGATCCAAATTCATATAACATATTGTTGATTAGCTCAAATTTACAAGGAAATATTAATAAATCATTCTACACAGTTAAGTCACACAATGTTGAATACGTTAATTCAATTTACGACGTTGGATCCAGTAACCTCATATGGTCATCATAATGTTGACGAAGCAACGGCTTGGTCTTTATCATCCTAAGACAAATCCAACAACGGTGTCTTTCTTCGTGTACTTTAAGAGATTTCCTCCAACAAAACGCTTTGTTACACTGCTTGCACCTGAAAGGTTTTTCACCCGTGTGTATTCGTTCATGCTCTCTCACATATCGTGACTGGCTAAACGCCTTGTCACAATGCTTGCACTTAAATGGCTTCTCACCACTGTGTTTTCTTTCATGTGCTTTCAGATTTCCTGCCTGGCTAAAGGCCTTGTTACATTGCTTGCACTTAAATGGCTTCTCACCACTGTGTTTTCTTTCATGTGCTTTCAGACTTCCTGCCTGGCTAAAGGCTTTGTTACATTGCTTGCACTTAAAAGGCTTCTCACCACTGTGTGTTCTTTCATGTGGTTTCAGACTTCCTGCCTGGCTAAAGGCTTTGTTACATTGCTTGCACTTAAAAGGCTTCTCACCACTGTGTGTTCTTTCATGTGGTTTCAGACTTCCTGCCTGGCTAAAGGCTTTGTTACATTGCTTGCACTTAAAAGGCTTCTCACCACTGTGTGTTCTTTCATGTCCTTTCAGACTTCCTGCCTGGCTAAAGGCTTTGTTACATTGCTTGCACTTAAAAGGCTTCTCACCACTGTGTGTTCTTTCATGTCCTTTCAGACTTCCTGCCTGGCTAAAGGCTTTGTTACATTGCTTGTACTTAAAAGGCTTCTCACCACTGTGTGATCTTTCATGTCTTTTTAGATTTCCTACTTGGCTGAACGCCTTGACACAATGATTGCAAATAAACGGTTTCTTACCACTGTGTGTTCTTTCATGTACTTTTAGATTTCCTGCCCGGCTAAAGGCCTTGTTACATTGCTTGCACTTAAAAGGCTTCTCACCACTGTGTGTTCTTTCATGTCTTTTCAGATCTCCTGCTTGGCTAAACGCCTTGACACAATGCTTGCACTTAAATGGCTTCTCACCAGTGTGTATTCTTTCGTGTACTTTCAGATTTCCTGCCTGCCTAAATGCCTTCTTACCTGTGGGTGTGGGTGCAAACACTTAACCTTTTTCTCCTATAATAGTCAAATATGCATTAAAGCTGCTACTAATGCCTTTAAAAATCTTAGCTACAAAAAAAATATTATATTCATCTTCAGACGATGAAAGCAGCACTGTTACTAACAGCCGGGGTCTGGGTATTTCCTTAGCTAATACGAGCAAGAAAATAGACAGAAAACACTTCCTGTTTGTTCAATTCCCGCCTATTAAATGCACATACCAAGGAAAGTGAAGTTACAGTGACAGCCCTTTAGAAACTTTACATTTCGAAAACCTTTCAAAACTGTTTTTGGTGCCCTAGAATGATAATCTGTCCCAACATGCCTATCAAAAGAACCACAATTCAACGAGGCTGACACAATGTGCAAAAAGCTGTGAAGTTTGCAACAACAAAGTCTATTTGATGCTATGCATGTTTCAACAAACACAAAAAGATACATGCTAGCATGGATGGTGAAATTATCCAAGATGTTATGTTGATGCTTTAAAACCGAAAAAACTAAGGTGTTTATTACAAGATATGGTAGAAAATATGATGATGGGCAAACAATGCTTCATATGATACACAGGGTCATTCCATATAATAATCACAAACCCAGTTCAGGATATTATACAATGTCTTACATCAAGCAAAAAGCATCAAAAATTGCTCTTATGACTGTAATAGCGAAATAATTTTCCCACGTCAAAACCCTAATATGAATCGAAGACACCAAAGTGGGAATTAAATTGGCTCAATTCCAAAAACAAGGCTCAAAGTTCTATTTTTAATATCGGGGTGCTTTTGTGACCCACAAGGAGAACAGGAGAAGGTTTTGCATTAATACATTTTTCCAGTGCATTGAGGAAAAAGTCACATTTTCTTAGTGTTAACAGTAACGTCAAAACAACTCATCAACGTAATTGCCATGTGGGTGAAGGTGGGTTGGTTATTGAATTATAAATGGAATGCCCACAGCCAAACAAAAAACATCAATGTTAGGGCAAAAGCAAGAGACCAAGAACGGAAATACTTCTGCTCCAGATACATGTAGAATTTAGATCAGGTGTAATGAGTCCATAAGCTCAAATGAAATACAAGGAAGAAAGCCACGGTGACACCACCCACATAATGCATCAGTCAATTCCAGCTGTGCCCAGCCCCCTCTCCCCCCCCCCCCTCCGAGCTGACCCCCAGGTATTATCATTTTTTGCCTTGGATGGCAAATTTCCGGGGGTGGGGACTCTTGAGCTGTGAAATCCCCCGGGGTGGGGACGAAAAAAGAGGGCAAATGCCCCGTCCTCGGTGAACACCGCAACATTTTTCATTGATCGCACAGTCGAATAATGCCGTTTTAAGCATTTTAAAGTGCGATTTTTTGTTTCAATTAACGTCTTCCTTTGTAATAGCGCTAGAATTCTAATGAAGACTTCACGCCGCGACGACATGCACCAGTTTGTGTTTTTCCTATTGATATAAAATTATTGACATTAAAATTAATAGAGCGTTGTAATGTTATATGTTACGAATAGTTGTTTAAATATGAAAGGATGTTCTTCAAATAATATCAACAGAAATTTGATTCAATAACCAAAAAACAATGATTCAAATCGATAGCTCCGGTTTTCGCTATGTATAAATTATTGCTTGATAAGCGATGAAGAAGTGCATGCATAAAATCGAGAATATGCCTTTACAACCCTCTTCAATTTATTCCTGTCCTTGACAGGTGAGCCAATCTGCCTTCTTTCCAGTAAAACCTGTAGTTATATTCTGATAGGAAACTGCGTGCGTGTCAAAAGCTCCGGGAATGGCCCCGGGGTTGGCAAATTCCCGGCCCCCGGGCAGTGCAAAATTTGCAGATGCCCCACCCCCGGGACTGACAAGGCAGGGAAATGCCCCGCAGTTGCCCGGGGGGGAGGGGGGCGGGCTGGGCGTAGCTGGAATTGACTGATGCATAAATAAGAAGAGTTACAAAACATCAACATGACACAAATAACAAAAGACAGCTTTGAATCTAAAGCAAACTTGATATTTTTTCACATTTCCTTTTTACCTTCAAAGTTTGCTTTCTACACCTAACAGTTTCTTGTGCGGTTTAAATAAATATTATATTAAATCGATGTCAACACAACCTAAACGCTAGCTTACGCTTTACTGTTATCATCCTTTGTTTTTGAGCTGGTAATACAGCTTGGCAAAAATGTCCTATTTCTCCACGTTAAAGTCTATTATTTCAATTATATATCCGGATCGTAAAACATACAACTAATACACGTACCTCTCAATGTCATCATCTGTGAACGTCGCATGAGCAAAGATGGCGACTTTCCCATGTCTTCCCATGCTCCTTTGTTTCTTCCTGAAAACCCTCATTCCCAGTTCCCATCGCGTTTAAGATGGTCCAATTTGTTTTAATTAAAAAATATACACCATCTTTATTCGATTAAACCCTTCAACTGTTTATGTAAACATTTCTAGAGTATCCGATATTAAAAATTACTGGATTTTAAAAATTTCACAATTACTGACAACAATTACGAGAATTTAGTTAAAAACATTTGAAAAGCAAAAAGATTTTTAAAGTTCGAACGTGTCCCTTTTTTGCTGAGATGGAATATTTATTGTCTGGATGATGTAGTTTAAGTTGCCCCAAGTGCTTCACGCATAATCTATTGATTGATTGCTTTCTACACAGCGTTGATTGATTGTTCTGAATGGGAGCGGTATTATAGGATAGTTTTCCATCTGCGGAGTTACAGTAAAGCGTACTACCATCCCCTCTCCACCAAAGATTGAATTAATAATTTCACTATTGGAAGCTTTTAAATCGGCCTTTGGTTGTGAATTTCAGTTTCAATTTCTGCACTCAGTCCTGCATACTTAATGAGCAGTAAAATCACACGCGAGGTAGTTATGAAATTTCTCCCAAGTCGGTTTTCTTGAAATTGATGTAGACGTCCTTAAAGCAATTTTATCCATTTAAAGATTTTTCAATCTGATCGAATACAGAGGGTTTTCCGCTAGTGCCATGGATTTCACAGAACAAGTACCAACTCCGGATTCCAGTTAAGGATCCGGATTGCGGATTGCGGATTCCGGATTCCTGCTTTTATGCCGCAAACGCGAATACGGAGAAGTTATCTTGAAAAAGTCATTGTTCATTATGCGCATGCAGGAAAACAGATTTGAATTTGAGGCTGGTTGCGGCAACGACTAACACATTCATTTCTTCAAATGATCGCTTCACTAATGAAATTCTGGGGATACACTTGACCAGTTTTCATTGTAATCATCGATGACGGCATTTTATCGAGTAAATACGGCATAGACAGAAGTTCAAGGGATAATAATCTAACTTAACGTAAAACACAAACAATCTCTCACAATGGAAAGTTTCTCGGAGATATCAGTTGTGACCGGATTCATTTACCGCCGTGCTAGAGGAGGTCCTCCCATCAAACGAACCTTCAAAAAATTCCGGATGTGGTAGAGGAGAGTAACATCGCTATGTTTGCCCACGACACAAGATCTCTTGAAAGAGGTCAAGAGGGGCACCCAACGACAATTTTCGGAAAATTATCTGTTCGGAAGACGATTTGAGGTCTAAAAATTTCGGATCATTTTCTGAAAAATTTCTTGCTTGCCTCCAGTTTTCGGATCTGAAAAAAATCGATTCGACCCATTTTAACGGTTTTTACCCTAAAAGGTCACCTAGGTTTTTTCTCAAATTTTAAAAAGAAATTTTGACCCTAAAATTTTCGGATCAATATACAAGGCTCAAAAATTTTTAGGGAATATCCATCTGGAAATACTAAAGTACGTTCAACAATGGTTTAAAACTATATTCTCGTTAGGTCCCTGGGTAAGTCTGCTGGTGATGTCGTGTGTCGGATCTGAATCGACTCGACCCTTGGTCGTGACTTTTAACGAGACAAAATGCAAGGCTTATCTAGTCAAAGGTTCTACGACCTCCTAACGACCTCACATGGAGCAAACAAGTGTTTGAGCAGTCGTGTCGCGCAAATAAGCTGTTAGGTTACATTAGCTATAGACGTAATACAGGATTCACACGAAGCACTGGCGTTAGGCGATCGGTTTACGTCACTTAAGATAGATCTGTTTTCGGCTATGCAACCCCAATTTGGGCTCCTCAGTCTATCGAACTAATTACAAAAATTGAAAGGACATAGATGCGTGCCACTAAATATATTCTCACATTCCCATTTTCCTTCACAATTTCTTACATGGATAGACTTAAAACTTTGGATCTGCTGCCATTAACATTCTGGCAGGAGTATCCACAGGCGTCCGAAGCTCACGTTACGAGTCTGTTATGTAAACAGTAACTTTCTCAGATCTTCTCAATAGATGTCGGTGTCGTGTTACAAGCAATCGTTGAGACTTTGTATGAGAAATAAAATACTAAGGCCTGCGGACGCTAAATATCATTATTCTTACTTATTTTTCTATAAAATAAATAAAGGAGACTTACGTTTGATGTATTCCTGTGTTTTTTGGTGTAAATTCATCGATTTAGTCGGGTTTTTTGGCTATTATTGTTTGACCCCTCTCACTCTCCTATCACGAGGCCTACCAGATCTTAGTCCAGTGGTGTTATTAAATTCGTAGAGCCTAAATGTAAGACAGCAGCTTATGAAAAGTCCAATATCATCAGATACATACGCGTCTGGAACGTTGTTAAGCGGACACTAAGCCGGGTCCCGAAACGAACGTCTGATATTTCCCTTTACATTGAACCCCTATTCAGTGGACACCTCTATTCTTGAGCGGACGCGGACACTAAAATAAGTTGTATCTGGCTATAAATTTCTTTTGTTAAAAGCCTCTGTTAAGCGGACACCGGACTGAATTGACAATAGTAGTATTGGATTACGTTCTTGAAATACTTACTGAAGTCAGCTAATGTTTTTGCATTTACAAACAAATTAAAGTTAGTAATGAAAGGTAATGAACCTTAACTCTAGATATCTTCTTTAATAACATGCAACTTTATCACAGTACAGAGTAACCGTTGAATCTTAATCGCTAACAAACATTGCGCAATTTTTACAACCTAACAAAATTGACGCAAGGTCCCGAAGGTTTTAATAAAACATTTTTGTTCTATTATTTCATTATTTATTTTTTATTTTCTATTATTTTTTGCGGAATCCTTGCCACTTTTTCTTTGTTATTTCGTTTGATTACCCTTATGTATTTGTATTTCGTACCGCGCTTCGATGGTTTAGTTTCAAACAGAGGTTTGGAGGCTACAACTATATATTAAAGAAACCCAATCGAACCACATGTTTAAAAACATTGTTTGATTTCTTTTCATATATTTTTTTGCTATCGGCTTATTTCTCTTAATTCATACTGTTGGCCCTTTACACCTACGCTAGGTTTTGCGATAAACGTATTTTACATTTTGGAAAATACCGTAAAATTTCGAAAATAATCCCCAGGGCCATTTTTGAGGGGCCTATCTATTTTTGGAAGGGCTTATATTCGTAGAGCGAAATCGGCTACGTTTATACTGGGAGGGAAATGTGCGTCTTTAAATCCATTGGGCTAGCTTCTGGTTGGAAGGGTAATTTTTGTCGGTAATTTGTGGCAAGTTTTTACTGAAACTCGCTTTGAGGACGTAGATCTTTCTAAAACTCAACCATGCAAGTACTTTGTCTACATGTACCTGGAAAATCAAAGCCAAGACTGAATACTGAACTACGCAAACACCAAAATACAGTGAAACCTTCTGACTACAATCATTTGGCACACGTAATACAGTCAAACCTCTTTAATACGGACACCAAAGGGACAGAACCAAGTGTCCGCTTTACAGAGTTGTTTTTTTTTTTAGAGGTAGGGAATGTATGATTTTTGGTATTTCTGGGACCAAACGAACTGTCCGTAATAGAGAGGTAGCTAGAGGTGTCCGTAAGGAGAGGTTAGACTGTATTCTTTGGCAAATGCAAACATTAATGTGTTACTGTACAGTTTTTGCCTTGTTCTATTTTGAATTTGAGGGCAATTTCCGAGTATAATCAATTTGGGGTTTTTCTTCGTTCCTCAAAAAAGCCTTTGTTAAATATCAGACGATTGATTACCCTACGAGCAGTGGTTTCTCCAGGCCGGACGCTACGCTACGAAAGGAGAGAAACCACCGCGCCACAAAACAACTATAATTCAAATTCTCACTGATAAGTCAGTCTTCCTCAAGCTGTTCGAGGTATAAGGAATAATGTGTGAATTTGAAATAGATCACATATACCAGAGACACAGTTAATACGAGTCGCTGATGGTTCATTGTTACTTCCAGTGCAACTCAACATAATATTCTCACTGCATACAATTGGCCCGTGACGTGGGAAATGAGTAACTCCTTCAATTTCCGTCGTGCTGGGCCTGCGCGCTGGTGGCATAATGGATTGCTGCCCTTGGTTAGAATTGCCCAATTTCTGCCCGCCTCTTGGCCAGTTAGTTGAAGTGACTTCAAAGTTTCGCCCTTCCCACCTCCCCTGGTGGCGGTTGATCTCACATACCCACACTACTCTGCATTCTTATTGTCCTGGCAGTCGCTGTTTCCTCTAATAACCTAGTTCCCCGTGTCGGGACAATAGGCATGCAGTGCGAGTATTATAGGACAGGAACAGTTTTCGCTCGCTTAGTTCTCTCCTGTTCTTTGAAGATCTACTCAGGGATTATCGCAATTTGACCAAAAAATTAAAATTAAAATTAATGTCGAATCTTCGTTTTATTCACCTTTCTTCTGTTGAGAATCATCCTGCCAGCAGAGCATTTCTTTCGCTTGCTCGATTTTGGCGTACTAGTGAAAAGTTCCCCATGAATCGAGGAAGATCTTTGTTGACCATGCGCGGCACGTTGCTAAGATATAGTTTCTAACCCAGGCCTTTAGTCGTACGCTTGCTTCAGCCAGCTCGGTTATGACCAGTGGTTTAAATATAGATGGATGCTCACACTCGAAAAAAACTAGTTTGACGACACAAAACAAGATTGTTTAGTCCAGAAGTTCGGGCTGCGGCAACCTCAAATGTTTGACGTGATTCAGGCAGAGCTTCCTTTTCTCCTCCTCAGCCAATGATCATGAGGCTCTGCTCGCAGAGTGTTGAGAAGCTACAATCCTGGACAAAAGGCCTGGGGAAAGTGATGAAATATTCGTGATTCCTGTAATTTCTGGTTGTCGTAAATCGCCTTCAACGTTGCTTGTGGGGTGAGGGGAGGGGTTGGCCACATTCGACTTCAAAAGCCTCACAACAGCAAATTTTAGCTGAAATTTCTCCCATGAACAGGCTGTTTGCAGCAAGCGGTTCACGTGGTACCAAATTGCCATATTGTTTCTGTTGTCCCAGTACGTTCCTTGCTCTCCAGCATAGTAGACAGGCTGATTCTAGACTGAGAAAACAGCGGACAGACCTAAGTAGTGTATCTAATTGGTTCAAGCAAATTTCTCACGCTTCATGACCAATCGTATCTGAGTGGTGTGACGTGATCAGTATGGAGTTTCTGTACGTCGTATAACAGAGTAGCCTCAATTACCAGCTGCTGTTCGGGAAATGAGCCCACGCTCCTTCCCTAAACAGACAGCAGAACGCATGGGTTTGCTATTGTCAATAACCACCAATCAGATAGTTACCTGCTCAAATCTAGCAGGCCGCATAAATTTATTTTCTTGCAGCATATTTCAAACGGCGGATGCAAATTTGTTGTTTGATGTAGTACGCGATCGTGTTTAAGAGCGTTTTATGCTTAAAACTTAAAATATTTACAAAGAAAAGTATTGGCTTAGAGAAACTAGCAAATGGTAGGTGTGTTTTTGAAGTTCAACCAACCGGAACTATGGTTGTTGACAGAGTGAAAGAATACAATCCGTACGTGTTTTTGTTGATTTTTTCGCTGATTTTCATGGCAAATGCCAAAGCGACGACGAGGCAAAGTACAACATTTTTTCGGTATTTAATGACACTTCTCATGTCCGATGTTTGGTAACGACGCGTAAATTAAAATTTTGAATTGACGTCACAGCCACGATTGGCCACTCACGCGTCCAGCCGTCTCTACTCGGGAAGGACCGAGAGAACGGCGGAAATCGAGCCTAACTCGAAATCCTTATCTTGCAAAACCTCGCGTGTCTCGTATGCCACTAAAGTTAAGTAACCCTTTTCACGCGGGGTCAGGAACTGGATGGGTGTCTAACCGAGAATATATCCTAAAGACTCCTAGTACTGTGGGATTAATTTAATGAATTCAATGATCACTTCAGGACCCAGTGTTCAAGCGCTATCCACTAGACAAAGATCTCTAGTGCATAATGTAATTGTTTCCATTAATACTTATCCATTGGACAATGATTTATCCGGTGGAAAGCACTATCCAACGTTTGAACAACCAGGGGCAGGAAAATGAAACGTATTCCCGATACACAAAGCAAACAAAGGGAAACTGGTCACGCAAATTTTAACACTTTCTAAGCTGTTTAACATGTAGAACATAATAGTCCAGAGAGCATTTTACGTCAAACTAAACACTATATTTTCCATTTTTGCGCAAAATGAACGTAACAATCACCATAAGCTGAAAGAGACTTAAACACGGAACCACAAAGTAATATTTTTTCTTTGTCATGAGAGTAACACGTCTACAAGACAAGGGTACTAAGAAAAATTTCAAGCGCCAAGGTTCCAAACCTAACAGCGCTCCTAAATATTAAAAAGATATTAACAACAATGCTGCCACAAAATTCAACCACTGATGTAATGACGCCAGTGATCAGAATCATCTACAATGACGTGATTACCGGGAAAATGGCCAATAAAAAGAACTGCCTCAACACCATATTGGTTGATAAAGAATGCCAAAAAACTCAACTTATTATAAAGATAAGGCCGCACAAAAAGCTACTTCGCGAGTAACAAATAACTCACTTCCGTGAGCCCTTATCGCTAAAATCATGTTGTTACAATGATGATTGACACCATAGCAAACGTCTTGGTTCCTTTTTCAAGGAAAAAGGAGGTTCTTCTTGAGGATCTTCAATCCCTAAAAGCATCAATGGAACGAGAAACTGAAACGTGATTTTTTTAGCAAATGGTTAAACCACACAAACGGATGCTTGACTGTAGATGTTAAAGAACTCTATCCTCGTCTATTTACGGTTTCTTTTTTAAAAAAACACCTTAAGTGTCCAAGGAGTGTGCCATCACTACATGCACCAATCAGACCAGAAACTAAAACTACTACCATACAATGGGAGCGCGCTTCCCAGAAAATAACTTACAATGGCCTAAAGGGTGCAAATGATTCGCTGTAAACAGGATAACTTTTGAACTTTTCGTAAAAAAAATCGTGCTTTAACTCCTTCTTGAACAAACTTGCCTCTTTTAACAAAACTCAAATACTGTTTTGTGTGGAACATACTTACACACTAGACTTTCTACAAGCCTTGAAAAATAGCCTTGTAATAACATCTTACTTAAATTTTTGCGTTAATCGAAAAAAAGCAACTATGTATTTGATACCCCCTATTTAGTGTTGAGAGATCTAACATGCTATCAGCTGGGAAGAACATTAACACTTTAAACGATTTGGAAAGTTCCTTTTAGCAACCAGGAAAATGAGCCAGATCCAAATTCATATAACATTTTGCTGATTAGCTCAAATTTACAAGGAAATATTAATAACTCATTCTACACAGTTAAGTCACACAATGTTGAATACGTTAATTAAATTTACGACGTTAGGTCCGGTAACCTCATATGGTCATCATAATGTTGACGAAGCAACGGCTTGGTCTTTATCATCCTAAGACAAATCCAACAACGGTGTCTTTCTTCGTGTATTTTAAGAGATGTCCTCCAACAAAAGGCCTTGTTACACTGCTTGCACCTGAAAGGTTTTTCACCCGTGTGTATTCGTTCATGCGCTCTCACATATGGTGACTGGCTAAAGTTCTTGTCACAATGCTTGCACTTAAATGGTTTCTCACCAGTATGTATTCTTTCATGTCTTTTCATATTTCCTGCCTGGCTACAGGCCTTGTCACAATGCTTGCACTTAAATGGCTTCTCACCACTATGTATTCTTTCATGTCTTCTCAGATATCCTGCCTCGCTAAAGGCCTTGTCACAATGCTTGCACTTAAATGGCTTCTCACCAGTGTGTATTCTTTCATGGAGTTTCAGATTTCCTGCCCGGCTAAAGGCCTTGTTACACTGCTTGCACTTGAAAGGTTTTTCACCTGTGTGTATTCGTTCATGTTCTTTCACATATCGTGCCTGGTTAAACGCCCTGTCACAATGCTTGCACTGAAATGGCTTCTCACCAGTGTGTTTTCTTTTATGTTCTTTCAGACTTCTTGCCTGGCTAAAGGCCTGGTTACATTGATTGCACTTAAATGGCTTCTCACCAGTGTGTATTCTTTCATGGAGTTTCAGATTTCCTGCCTGGCTAAACGCCTTGTTACACTGTTTGCACTTAAAAGGCTTCTCACCACTATGTATTCTTTCATGTCTTTTCAGACCTCCTGTCTGGCTAAAGGCCCTGTCACAATACTTGCACTTAAATGGCTTCTCACCAGTGGCTTTTCTTTCATGTAGTTTCAGACTTCCTGCATAGCTAAAGGCCCTGTCACAATGCTTGCACTTAAATACCTTCTCACCAGTGTGTTTTCTTTCATGTACTTGCAGACTCCCTGCCTGACTAAAGGCCTTGTTACAACGCTTGCACTTAAATGGCTTCTCACCTGTATGTATTCTTTCATGCTTTCGCAGATCTCCCCTATGGTTAAAGGTCTTGTTACAATGCTTGCACTTAAACGGCTTCTCACCAGTGTGTATTCTTTCATGTAGTTTCAGATTTCCTGCCACGCTAAACGCCTTGTTACACTGCTTGCACTTAAAAGGCTTCTCACCACTATGTATTCTTTCATGTCTTCTCAGATGTCCTGCCTGGCTAAAGGACTTGTCACAATGCTTGCACTTAACTGGCTTCTCACCAGTGTGTTTTCTTTCATGTCGTTTCAGATTTCCCACCACTCTAAACGCCTTGTTATACTGTTTGCACTTAACAGGCTTCTCACCAGTGTGTCGTCTTTTATGCACTTCCAGATTTCCTGATGATGGGTAAACTCCTCGTCAGAATGCATGTACTTAACACTACTTAGCTTTAATGTGTTGATCTCGTTATCACTCGATCAATACATCAAGGCCTCGTTCTGAGATTTCCCTGTAATGACCGAATGGACAGGGTTAACCCGGAATTTTCAACATCCGCGCGTCAGAGGTCATTCCCGGTCGTATTCATAGAAACGAAAAGAATCTGGCGATGCAATTGAAACCACAAGACAGTGTCTTTAGTGAGAAATTGTGGACCTGAGTCTGCGATCAATTAAAAACCAATTACTGGTCAGGGATAACTTTCAAAAAACGTCACCTGTGCTCAATCACTCGTAGACTTGAGCCCACAATACAGTCATGTGACACAGGTCAGCGGATAGCCTTTTTTGACAGCTGTCAATTGACCATAATATGGATGTCCACCATCAAGTTTTCTTCAAAAACAGATTGTATATACCTTCGACACCTAGCTAATAATGTCCGGTCATTACAAGAAAGTCTTGCACAGTTATTACTATAAATCTTCCCTTAGCAGCCAATCAGAGGGTGCATACTATTGTAGTCATATAGTAAAATGGTTTCTCACCCTTGTGTGTTCTCACAGTAATTTTAGTGATGTTTGCTGCAAACAGCTGATAATCAAAGCTAACTCAAGTCTATTTGATTCTATTTATGTTTTAACAAACACAAAAAGAAACATGCTACCATGTCTACCACACATGGTGAGGTCATTTAACATGTCATGTCAATAATTTGAAAACTAAGGTGGACAAAGCTAATGTTGGAAAATAGGCAAATTCATGCTACAAATGATACACAGGGTCATCCCATTTAATTCACTTATCAATCGTTTGCCCAAGGAAGGGGAGGTGGGCATTCCAAAGAAATTTGACTTTATAAAGCACATGCAAGTAGCGATTTTGACATCTACAACAGTCTCCCGGGGTGCAAAAGTTGTCTCAGCCACCATCTTAGAGAAGGGAGAGGACCTGAGAATGAGTGATGAGCGGTCTACCATCTTGGACAATACCCAGTGGTCATTTGGATAAACTTCTTGCACCATGTAAGGGATCCCAGAACAGTCTTGGATTCTGGATTCCATGCTGTGAATTCCAGATTCCAGGTACTAGATTCCAGATTGCATATCAGTAGAACCTGGATTCAAGATTGCAACCGTTGGTGGCTTTCCAGATTACTTGAGCTGTATTCGGGATGTCAAAGTCCAAAATCCGGATTCCACAAGCAAAAAAATCCCGGATTCTGGATTCTACAACTAAATCTTTCCTGGGTTCCGGATTCCCTAACACGAGGCAAAGTTTCCAATGTACCCAACAGTGATCTTTTTTTTTTTGAAGTTTCTTGTACCTCAGCTTTGAGAAGAAAAATTTACACAAAACCTCATTTATATCAAAATTTGTTTTCTACTTACGTTTTTACTAAATACTGCCCTGCAACAAGTTTTCCATGTAGAAAAATTGAATTGAAAAATCATCCGTACAGACAGGAAACAGTCCTGGAATTCTGCGTTAGATTCGCTAGTATAAAATTAAATGAAGTTCTTCACTCCAGTAACAAATATCAGCCCTTAGACATGTAACAATACTATGTAATACTATGCACAACAATTCACGGATATTTTCAGATGCATAAAAAGTGAACTGCCAAGTATGGTCAATTGTGACCAAGTAACTACTCTCTGGAGATGCTAAGTGTTGCAATAAAGTATTGTGAGTGCCCATTAGTTCCTTGAAATTACTGTACAAGCTCTGTGGTCCTCAGGCGTAGGAAATTGACTCATCATAGAGATCCAAGGGTGGAAAACAGTGACATTTGGAAACCCGAAAATGTCAAATTTCACTTGGGATGCCACTATCAATCATGGGGCAAACCATAGGTGTATTAGTACTATGATAATCCCCTTTTTTTAACTGGAAGATGTAAACCCTATTTTAATTTATTCAATTAAACACCCCCCGATGTTTATAAAATTTTAAGCGTTTTCGATGCGGCGTTTATTTTTAAATCACATTTCATAAATCATTGACAGCAATTACGATAAATATTTTAAAATATATGTAGACACTAAGATGTTTAAAGTTCCAAGGTTTCGCTTTTCTGGCGGGATAGAAAAGTTATTGTCTGGATGATGTAGATAAAGCTGTCATAAATGTTCCTCGTATAATCCTGGAATAAACGCCGCATGGGTGAGAGAATAGACGACCGGAAATGCGTCTGTGTTCGCAGGCTAGACATCTGTGTTTTACCGTCGGGGCAGGCCTTCTACTCATGATCTGTGGAACCTGTAATCCGTTAGTAGGTGAAGATTTCGGTTTAATCGCTGCATTCCTGTTAACTCTTGCCTACGTAATGACCAGTGAACTCACACGAGCGATAGTTATGAAATTTCTGCCACCTCAGTTTTCTTGAATTTGAGGTAAATGCCTTCACAGCAATGGCCCATTTTACAGTTACAGGTTGAAACCAGGCTGGAGTTGACCTTGTTTTGATACAACCCTTCCTGCTTTATTATTATTTAAATCATATGAACCTAGGATATGGCCTCGCTCTCCATGAGTTCCGGGGACTCAGATTTTTTCTTTGTCCCACGCTCGTGACATGCTGGTCATTTCATTTTCACATAAATCATAAGTGTCCTTATGCTAATCATTATTTTCAATCAAGCATAATTTCCATTACAAAACGAAGGAGGTTTGTATCAAAACAAGCTCAACCTCAGTCTCACGTTCACTCAAAGGCTAGGGTACCAAGTCCACAACTGTAAAATGGTCTATTTTATCCATTCAAAGATTTTTCCGCCTGATCGAATACAGGAGTCATCGTGAAAAATGTACTGCCTTGGTACTGCTCATTAGCCATGTAGTAATGCAGATTTCAATACCCCATGTTCGATACTGATGACTCCGTAGCTTTATGAAGAAAACTGCAAATTTTGCACAACTCTATTGTCTCCCAATTCCCAGAAGATATGAGCATTAAGAAAAACCACAAAATATAAAAGTATGACCAGAAAGCATCGAAGTCACATTAGAATTTTAAGAAAGTGGAACCTCTATTCAGGGACACCCTCGCGACCAAGGAAAGTGTCCCCTGAATAGACGTGTCCCTTTAATAGAGTAAGAGGTTATGGGCTGGGGTTTGTTAATAATTAACCGAAAAAAGAAAATATATTGTTTTCATTTTGCCTCTGAATATGTTGCAGTCATTAATTCAATCAGCTAGATAATGTATACAAAAAACCACGTAACCGTTTCTCTGCAATATTGAGTGTTGATTTGCCATGTTGTGAAAGCTGTCGTTATCGTGACTAGTGTACACTTTAATTACTAAGCAACCTTCTTTGTTGTCAGTCACGTTTTTAGTACTACTAAATGCGTCACCCAAATGGAGGTTAAACCTGGGTACCGGGACAAAGAAAAAGTGTCCCATTTCTATGAATAGAGGTGTCCCTTCAACAGAGGTAAAAGATACAAAGATTGTCTAAGCATTTTCCGGGACCAAATTTTGTGTCCCCTGAATGGAGGTGTCCCTTGTATACAGGAGTCCTAGAGGGGAGGTTCCACTGTATATCTAACGTGAGCTATTTGACACTGGTTGCGGCAATGACTAACGGATTCACTTTCCAGACAAGTCCCCCATAAGGAGGCCACATTGGGCTCACGTCTCATACGCACTACAACAAATATTTTTTTTGGAAATTTCCGGTTAGATCAAATCTTAGTCACGTTATACTTTCATGTTATATAATTGGGAACAGAGGGATAAGAAGAAGGGGTGCATTGTGGAGATGTGCCAGTTAAAAATAACATATGTCTTTTCTCGTTTCAAATAGGTAACTTCCTTTTTCATATTTGTTATTCATACTAGGTGAAATTGATGGTATGTTTGTCCCAGTGCAATCCCCTGCCCCAGAGAAAGGGGACTTGTATCACGTGAATGGTTAGTTGCAAAGGGTCTATGTGACCCATCATGTGGTAGCTTGGTTCCACTGTTGTCGGAGACTTGACAACTATTTTCAGTGATTTGAAATCATGACAGGCGCATTTATTTGATTATTCATCTATTGCTGGTTTGAACGCGACGTTACGGCGGCCATCTTGGTGGTCACGAACAAAAGAACTTCTTTCTTCTGGGAACTAAAGTCTATTTTCATGTAAATTCTTCGAGAAAAAAGCCTATTGTTTTGACCCTAATATGGCCTCCTTGTCACATGGTTGCAAACCAAGAATTGCTTTGTTAGTCGTTCTGAGAACTTCAAGGTGCCACACTCATGAAATGGGGAAGTTTCATGGTGTTGCCGACAGGGTGCAATCACCAAACCACGTAATGCAACAGGTTGAAAAGACATAGAACAATAAAAGTACCACAGAACAAAAGCGAACCAACAATGGTTTCCGCAACACAAAGAAACACCCAGAAATGGTGATTTACTTTTATCGAAGAGTGAATTTGAAAGTAATGGAAAGGTTAACACCGACCCAACAATTTCCACCTTTTTATTCCAACGTGAGAAAACAGCCGACATTTCGCGACCTAGCCTGTGTACAGACCCCCTCCCCTCAGTAAAAATTGGAGAAGGGGCGTCAACCCCTTCTCCGCTTTTTACTGAGGGGGAGAGGGGGAGTCTGTACACAGACTATTCGCGACCTCTCTGTTGGTTTTGAAACGTGACGTCTTATCGTTAATCCCACGTTACTGCACGAACGTACTAACGGTAGTTATTGTAAATCGATTATCGCCCACATCAATGAGATTTTTATTGATCAGCCCACGGCTACTTTCGCAGCCCTTTTCTGTAATGTCCGCATGGGAAATACGTAATAATTTCCAGATGGTTTTCGAGCACGTTTTGCTGATTATAAATTTAGCGTTTTCAGCATAGTTAGTTCAGTTCTAGTGTAGACTTCATGGTGTTAACTTCTGTTAGCCATTTGGGCCTTCTTTCTATCTACTACTCGTGCTCATCTACTGTCAAGGTCAGTTTGCCTTTTGAACCAAGATAACATTGGTACGTGTGCAAACTAAAGTGAGTATAGATTTCCTTTTATTTACAGTTTTTCAGCTTCGACTTCATCATAGTAATAGTTTTCGCTTAGTTTTGGTAATCAGTTCACAATATCGTTGTTGTTATTTTTTCTGTTTATTCGAGCGATCTATTTTTAGTCTTGTCATCACTGATTTACAGTGGTTTAAGTTCTTAATCGCTACTCTTCAACATGAGTATGCTGATTGATTGATACCAGCAGTAATCATCGTCGTATTACTTTCCCATAGTACCCTATGGGAGGCATTCGCTGCGTTACCAAGGACCTTTCATTTGGTCAAAGGTCAGTAGTGAGCTCGGAAACTTGACAAGCCTCAAAGCATTCAAGAAACATATACGCGATGTGGACCTTTCGAGCCACATAGATAATAATAGTAACTGCTGTGACCTTTGTAAATGTTGTATCGTGTACATTTGTACATAGTTTTTAGGTAAGATCATTAATTTGAAAGTCATGTAATAGATTAGTGTGCTAGTACGTAGGAAAGTGTCCCCAATTACCTAACTTTCAAGCTAAATAGATTGACACTAAAATAAAGTCATTATTATTATTATTATTATTATTATTATTATTATTATTATTATTATTATTATTATTATTATTATTATTATTATTACTATATTATTGTGGTGCTCTGCTAATATTTTACAATTTCTCCTAAATTTTTGTATCCTTTCTGACTAGATACTCACTGGTGAGTTTTGCTATGGCTCTGGTTTATTCAAGATCATTTTTGAAAGCAATATCATCACCAGTCTCTGCAATTCAAACGCGTTGCAGTTCCGACTTCTGGTGTCGTCTGACTGAACTCGGCATTTCGAGAGTGAAACCAACTCGAATAGGCTGCTGCGGAGGACGAAGAAAATTCAGAATTCTACCACAGCAACAAACCCTGCAGTCCGACTCTTCTGGGGACGATTTAATTTTTTTAGACACTCCACTACAAGAGGAACCCAGTGTTACCAAAGTGTTATCTCAATGCAGCCAAAGCAGGCGGTCCGGACGGTATTCCTAATTGGATACTAAGGGAGTATGCGGAATTTCTCGCCTGTCCTGTCTCAATCATTCTAAATGCCTCTTTCAAGGAACAGCAGCTACCGAGACCCTGGAAATTGGCAGACGTCACTCCTTTACCCAAAACCAAGCCTGTTAAGGAGATCAAGAAAAATCTGAGGCCTTTATCGTTAACACCGAGTATCTCTAAGGTCGCAGAGGACTTTGTCGTCACAGAGCACGTAAAGCCAGCTGTACTGCACTCTCTGGACCCAAGCCAGTTTGGTGCGATACCGAAGTCTTCGACAACTTTTGCCCTGTTGGAGATGCTCCAAGAGTGGTCTCAAGGGACTGATGGGAACGGTTCGACTATCAGGACACTCCTGTTTGATTACAAGAAAGCATTTGATTTAACTGACCATGGTATCTTAGTAAGGAAATTATGCGCGCTTGACATCGCACCTGGCGTCATTAATTGGATAATAGATTTCCTATCAGCTCGCTCACAGAGAATCAAACTCTCTGAAGGCTGTCTATCCGAATGGGGCACAGTACCTTCGGGCGTTCCGCAAGGAACCAAACTAGGCCCTTCGCTTTTCTTGATCATGATAAATGATCTAACCGTCAGTAATGCTTCTATTTGGAAATATGTAGACGACACCACAACATCAGAGGTAATAAAGAAATGACAGTATAGCGAGGTTCGAGGTATTGTAAATAAGGTAGTAAATTGGTCAATCAGAAACACAGACAAATGCAAGGAGCTCCGCATTAGTTTTACATCAGATTGTGACTTTCCTCCAGTAGTCATAGGAGAGGAGTGCATAAAATTAGTTAAAGATGCTAAAGTTTTAGGTGTTACTATCTCTAGTGACTTAACATGGAATATGGAATGCGCACATCACGGAAGTTACTAAGAAGGCCGCTAAGAGGCTCTATTTTCTTGTTCAGCTAAAAGAGCTCGTGTTCCACAGAAAGATTTTTGCCTTTTCTACATTACATGCGTGCTCTCCGTCATTGACTATGCTGCGCCAGTTTTCCATCACGCGCTACCAGCCTACCTTTCGCAAGAATTAGAACGCGTTCAGAAAAGAGCAATGCGAATCGTATGTCCTGCTATAGAATATCAGCAAGCTTCAGCGCTTATGAGTTTACCAACGGTTGCGGAGCATCACCACAACATTTGCACAGGCACGTTTGAAAGCATAATGAGTGACCCGAACCACAAGTTAAGAAAGTTGTTGCCGCCTCTTTATAAGAGCAACTATAATCTAAGGCACGCGCGCACTTTCACTTTGCCGCGTTGCAAGACAAATAGATTTAAGAACAGTTTTTTTATGGCCTCAGGCAGAATTGTAAATAATTTTTAGGTTTCTTATTATACGTTTTTAGTCTTAGCTGTTACAATTATTACTCATTTTTACAATTATTTGTATAAATTATTACCATTATGTAAATACGCAATTCAGCTTATGCTGCAATGTATTTAATAAAGTACCTATCTATCTATCTTATCTATCTATCTATCTATCTATTATTATTATTATTATTATTATTATAGGCTTTTACTGTCTGATTTTCTAGAGTTATCTAGTTATCTCTCGCTATTCTGGAATTACCGATTTCAATCATATATACTATATTTATACTTTATGTGGTTTTAGTTGAATAAGTTTTCGTTCGATTTTATCGCTTTCAGTTAGAACCGACTTTGTCCCTACAGAGATCGACCTTCAGAACTCAGAGACCTATTGTCTCCGTCCATTCTTCTGTATCAAGTTGTGACCTTTGTGCAAGGAACCCTGATCTGTGGTTCAATAAATGTGTTCATGTTATACTACCCTCACTTTTATTCGAGTTCATTTTGTGTCACGCACCGTGTTAAGTGATTTACTTGGATTTTTGGTTCTGGTACTCTGTCCTTGTAAATTACACCCTCTACTGATTCACCCGCGAAATGACGTTTGAAGAACGACCGCAGACGACGAGTCACTACTAAGGATAAAGTAATGCATCTGATTGGTTCAAGCAAATCTCCGGCGCTGCACGACCAATCAGATCTAGGAAGTGCAACGTCCTCAGTATCGATAGAATTTCTGTACCGCGTATAATAGAGGTGCAGTAACTTGCAAACCTCGCGCCGGGTGTCTCGTGGGTCACTTAAGTTAAACCCTGTTGGGTGGGTTTAGAAACTGAATGGATGTCCAGTCCTTAAAACTCCTAGCATCGGAAGAAACGGTTCCTTCTGTGAGTACCGGAGCACAGATTACGTAATACAATAGTAATAAAAGACAGGAAACAAAACAACTCCAAATAAAGACTAATCCCAAGTGACCAAAAATACAAAGCTTTCCGGTACCTGCAGAAAGACCCGAAGAAACACGGCCAAGGTAAGTAACTGAAACCAGTATTTAACCCAGTGTGAGAGAAATTTACTCCGGTGGAATATGAACTCAAAGATATATTTCTTCATATATATATATTTTTTTTTTTTCACGATAAAAAGCTTAACTGAAACACATTCACGATACACAAAAAAAATCTCGTGAAAAAACGTTTGACAGAGTTACAAACCAAATCATTTACACTTTCTAAACTGTTTATGTGATGCAAATACATCATAAAGGTCTGCGGTATCGTCACTAGGGAACTTAAGCACCAGACGTTCTTGATTCACGTACGGCATGGCTAACTATACGCAGAACTGGATGAGGGACGCGGTTTGCGTGCCAAATGCAAATCATCAAGCAAGACAACATGAAACCATCACGAAGGCCGACAGAATAATTCACACGAAAATGCGTTTCAAAGATTTGCGTTAAGTTTTGTTTCTTTCTTACGAAGAAAACATGATTTCAGACGAAGAATTTCTACTTTTGTATGACGCATACTCTTCAAAGAACCCAGAATTTGAACCTCAGCGCGTTTTGAAGTCCGTGACCGCAGCTCAAGAATGTCTTGACACGCGCAGTGGCTGTCATGCTGCAAAAATACTTCCGGTTGGCGTCCGTGGTACCAGGAACGTCTGGTGCTTAAGTTCCCTATTATTTTACGCTGAACCGCTAAGCATATCAACATTGTAACTCTCCCACCCTTAAGCTAGAAAAGATGAATCTTAATGCTCTTTACGCATTATTACTTTGACAAGAAAATGAAGTTGGGAGCATTTTACTTCAAACAAAATACTTAATTGTCTATTTTGTTTATGCAAAACACGTCATGACATATGAAAAAGGTGTAACAAAACATTTAAAGCGTTAACGTCCCAAACTGCTCAAACCTAACAAACAAAAAAGGACCAAATTACATCCAAATTGATATAACCTAAAAATTTTAACAACGATTTCATAACGACAGCTATCAAAATTATCCAAAATTATAAATTATAACTTAGAAAAATTGCCAAAATATTATTACAACAAGTAACAAAGCATGCCAAACACCCAACTGATACAAAGAAATACAGACCAAACAAATGTCTGCGAGTAAGTTTCAAGTAACCCTCACTTCCGTGAGACCTCATCGCTAAAATCGTTGTTCAAGTTTCACATAAATATATTCTAATAATTGTGGTAAAAGGGAACGTTCTAACTCTGATAACGCAACAGATCTCTAAACCAAGAGTCTCTCTTACAACAGTCCCGCAATTAATGTATCGTCCTTCGATATACTTCAGCCAAAATCTTATGATATTGCAAACGATTGTAACCAAAAAATTTGCTGCTAGACTGTAAATGTTAAGAAACTTTTTCCTTATAGAGAAAACACTAAACAAAAAACGTCTTGGAACCCTTTGTAGTAAAACAACAGTTGATTCTCGAGGGTCTTCAACCCCTGAGAGCACCGATCAGACTAGAAACTTCGAAAAAACTGGAACCGAATTCTTTAACAAATGGTTAAAACCACAAACATTGTTGCTAGACTGTAAATATTTTCCTCAAAATGAAGCCGAAAACTAAGTACAAAACGTCTGTATACAGTTTTTTCAAAAAAAAAAAAGCCTTAAGTGTCCAAACGTTTTCCTATGCACCCTAAATGCACCAATCGGACCAGAACCTAATACTGAAACTTCTCACCATACAAGGGTCGAGTGCTTCACAGAAAATCACTTCTAATTGCTATAAAGGAAGCAAATGATTCGTTGGTAACAAATTCACTTTTGAACTTTTCATAAAAATAATAGTGGATCCACCTCCGCTTGAATAAACTCACCTCTTTTAACAAAACTTAAGGTCTCGGTAAAGGAAAACGAGGTGCCCACAGAAAAAAATTCTAGTCGCGCGAGTATTTTCGCTACAAAGGCAAGTTATACATCAAATTAAAGCTAAAAGACTAAATTACCTTATAAAAGATTTTATTTCATCGAATTTCAAAAGGGGCTTAAGTTTTTTGTTCTCGAACTCAGAGGTATCGAGTTTACTGCTGAAGCTCCAGCCCTTTCGCGTTGTTATATATTCACTTCCCTTTTTTTGCATCTGATTGACAGATAAAAGACCTAAAAAAGGGTGTGAGAAAATTTGCATATGTCTCGTATTAGCGGAATTATTGCATTTCAAACTAAAAAGTCGAATCTCGAGCGCGATTTACGCAAAGAAACTGACATGAAATGAGTTACAAAGGAAAATCGGAAAATTCCTCACACCCTTTTTGAGTCTATATCATTATCCATCATATCTGAAAGTTTCAAAGCGATAGCTTAAAACCTGTCCCGACTGGAGGTCGGAGAATTTTGATTTTTGCGTCTAAAATAGAGTGAGAGAAAATCAGCTCTAAAGATTTAGCGCGAAGTCCACGCTTGGCTGGTTAGCTCAGAAAAGGCTCATTTTAGAAGGGTTAAAAAGCACTTACTGATTTTCTTTTTCTGCCAAAATAAAATTTAGGAACCACTCATGCCAAAAATCCAAAAAAAACAAAATCGAGCAATGTACTAAAATTTTCATTTACCGAGACCTTAAATAGAACAGTATGTGGTACATACCTACACACTCATCTTCCATCAAGCTTGAAAAAAATAACCTTATAATGACATATCATTTAAAGTTTTGCGTTAACTGAAACAAACAACTACGTATTAATTAAGAACTCCGTATTTAGTGTTAAATTCTATCAAATGGGAAGAACAGCAACACTTTATACAAATAGGAGAGTTTCTTTATGCAACCAGGAAAATGAAGCAGATCCGATCTCATTCAACATCTTTTGATGAGCTTGAATTTACAATGAAATACCACTAAATCATTATACACAATTACATAACAGAATGTTAAGTACGTTAATGACGTTTACGACGTTGGGTCCAAAAACCTCATATGGTCATCATAATGTTCACGAAGCGACGGCTTAGTCTTAAACATCTCAAGGCAAATCCAACAACGGTGTCTTTCTTCATGCACTTTAAGATAACTCCTCCCACAAAAGGCCTTGTTACAATGCTTGCACTTAAATGGCTTCTCACCAGTGTGTATTCTCTCATGCTTTCGCAGATCTCCCCTATTGTTAAAGGCCTTGTTACATTGCTTGCACTTAAATGGCTTCTCACCTGTGTGTATTCTCTCGTGTATTTTCCGATTTCCTGCCTGGCTAAACGTCTTGTTACAATGCTTGCACTTAAATGGCTTCTCACCTGTGTGTATTCTCTCATGTACTTTCAGGTTTCCTGCCTGGTCAAACGTCTTGTTACAATGTTTGCACTTAAACGGCTTCTCACCTGTGTGTATTCTCTCATGGTTTTTCAGATCTCCCCTACGGTTAAAGGCCTTGTTACAATGCTTGCATTTAAACGGCTTCTCACCTGTGTGTATTCTCTCATGTACTTTCAGATCTCCTGCCACGCTAAACGCCTTGTTACATTGCTTGCACTTAAATGGCTTCTCACCTGTGTGTATTCTCTCGTGTATTTTCAGATTTCCTGCCTGGCTAAACGTCTTGTTACAATGCTTGCACTTAAATGGCTTCTCACCTGTGTGTATTCTCTCATGTACTTTCAGGTTTCCTGCCTGGTCAAACGTCTTGTTACAATGTTTGCACTTAAACGGCTTCTCACCTGTGTGTATTCTCTCATGGTTTTTCAGATCTCCCCTACGGTTAAAGGCCTTGTTACAATGCTTCCATTTAAACGGATTCTCACCTGTGTGTATTCTCTCATGTACTTTCAGATGTCCTGCCACGCTAAACGCCTTGTTACATTGCTTGCACTTAAATGGCTTCTCACCTGTGTGTATTCTCTCGTGTACTTTCAGATTTCCTCCCTGGCTAAACGTCTTGTTACAGTGCTTGCACTTAAATGGCTTCTCACCAGTGTGTATTCTATCATGGGTTTTCAGATCTTTCCTACGGTTAAAGGCCTTGTTACAATGTTTGCACTTAAACGGCTTCTCACCAGCGTGTTTCCTTTCATGCACTTTCAGATTTCCTGCCTCTCTAAACGCCTTGTTGCACTGTTTGTACTTTAAAGGCCCCTGACCAGTGTGTTGTCTTTTGTGTCCTTCCAGGTTTCCTGCATAGGTAAACTCCTTGTCACAATGCTTGCACTTAATACTACTCAGCTTTGATGTATTGACCTCGCAATCGCTTCCCTGTAATGACCGAACGGACGAGGTTGCTAAATTATCTATCATATGGCCTGTTTAGTGTTATTCTTAAAATGAATACAATAAAAAAACCGGAATTTCAACATCCGCGCGTAATAGGTCATTTCAGCTCGTATTCATTAAACGGAAACGAACCTTGCGATGCGAATGAAACCACGAGACAGTTTCTTTAATGAAAAATTTTGGAGCTGAGCCCGCGATAAATTAAAAACCACTAAATGGTCAGCGAATAACTTTTCAAAAAAACGTCACCTGACCTCAATGAGTCAAACATTTGAGTCCGCAATACAGTCACGTGATACATGTCAGCGGGTAGCCATTTTTTACAGCTCTCAATTTTACAATAATATAGTTGTCCCCTATCAAGTTTTGTTCAAAAACAGTTGGTATACGCCTTAGACACCTAGCTAGTAATGCGCGGTCATTACAAGAAAATCTTGCGCAGTCATTACAATGCCTTGTTACAAAATGCTTACACTTAAAAGGCTTCTCACGTGGGTGTATTCTCTCATGTACTTTCAGATTTCCTGCCTGGATTAAGGCATTGTTGAACTGCTTGCACTTAACTCAGGCTTCTCACCAGTGTCAAATTATTCAGGTACAATGTTTTGTGTTTTCCAACACAGTTTATGTGCAGAGATACCAACCTCGAAAGATCTTAGATCTGGAGATCTCTTTTGTATCATTACCCTAATATCAATAACCCCCCTCCCCTCCCCAATCACCACAAATGGATCCAGTCCTCAAGTTATCACAAGGGTGTTTCTCAGGATATTATACATAGTGTTAAATGTAGAATTTAGGATCAAAATTCGCTTTTATGACTGAAATAGCAGAATAATCTTTGTAAGTGATGTGTGTGAAATTGCCGAATTCCATTCTATCAAATATTTTTTTTTTAAGTAGGGAACGCATGGGCTGAATTCCAAACTAAAAGGATATTGAATATTAAGGTGCCTTACTACAGGTTACAACTATTGACTTTTTCAAATTGGAACATTTTTATCAACTCAAGGTCTCTTCCGAACTTTTTATCACTGCAATTGATGTAAACATTTTATTGTGCAGTATAACGCGAAATATGGTGACCGAGGGCCCAAAAGAGGACTGGAAACTTTATAGGCTTTTTCTTAAAAACTAGGTGTACCACCCCACCTGAAAATTTCAGCATTTATTTTGTACTTACAAATAATTGTTTTTAGAGAGACAGAAAGAAAACCTATAGACAGCATTTTTGCAAAAGCCAAAAATGCGGAATTTTGTCTCTATTTATAATAATTAAAAACCTGTCCACTGAATTTGTTTACAAAAATGTTTATTGTGTCATCTTTATGTTCCCTAAAAATCCTCAAAATTTGAAGCCAGGTCGTACACTAGTTCTTAAGGAAAAAGAACTTAGAGGTCTAGTTTCCACTCCCCTTTTTGGGTTCTCGGTCACTATATTTCTCATTAAACTTGGCAATAAAATGTTTTTAACAGGTAAAATGATAATTTACGTCAATTGCAGTGATTAATAGTTCAGTAGAGGGCCATACAGGGCCTGTGGTTGGTAGAAATTTTCAACTTTGAAAAAGGCAATAGTTTTCATCTTAAAACTGTAAATAAGCCACCTTAAATTATTTAATAAAATGCCCACAACGGAAAAAGAGCCAAGGAAATTCCCCCAGGGTGGAAAAGTTATCTCACATGCCATCTTGGAGAGTGGGGAGGACCTGAGAATGAGCAATGGGTGGGCTGCCATCTTGGAAAATACCCAGAGGTCATTTTAACGAACTTCTTGCACCATGTAAGGGAATCCCTGACAGTCTTGGATTCCGCATTCCAGGCAATAGATTCTGGATTCTTTGTCAGTGGAACTTACATATAGATTTCAAACATTGGTGGGGTTCCCGATTCCTTGAGGTGTATTTTGGACTTCAAGGCCCAAAATCCAAATTCCATCAACAAAATATTCCTGGACTCTGGATTCCACAAGCAACATTTTCCTTGATTCCAGATTCCCTCACAAGAACGAAGTCCCTGGGGGGGGGAAGGGTACGTTAGGATTTTCTGGGTGGGGATGTGCCGCTGCGAACCTGGAACCCTTAACCTACACCAGAGCTAGTTCAACTGAATTTTGCTACCCTATTCTAGAGTATACTCCCCAAATCCCCCCTATCCTAGAGTAGCTGTTTTCCAGAAACTACTGAGGTCACTAGCACAGTCTAGCCAAAACAAAACCTTATACCACAATCCCTAGTCTAGATAAAATCTTCAACCAACTGATCAGTTCCTGAAAAATGATAACCTTACTCTCCTAGAGTAAACTGCTTGAAAACCATACCCTTTACAGCGGCACATACCTATATAGCCCATATATGGCAGTACCCCCCACCCCGGGACGAAGTTACATACCCATCAGCCCAGTTACCGGGTGGTATTTAAAACAACAGCTATTTTGTCCCTCAGCATTGAGAAGAAGTATTCGTAAAAAACCTCATTTATATCTACTTACATGTTTTTACTTGATGAAGTTTTCGATATAGTAAAAGGATTGCTACGGCCCTGTAGATTTGCTAGTATACTCCAAAATGTCAAATTAAATGAAATTCTGGACGTAATGGCACCGCTTTTGCAAGGCTAGAAATTTTTGAATAAAGGTTAAATAAAAGTTGAACCTATACACGTACCTCTTGCTCTTGATGTCATCTTGTATGCGTTTCAACAAAGATGGCGCCTATAATTTTCCATGGTTTCCCATGCTCCTTTGTTTCTTCTTAAAATCCCTCATTCCCAGCTCCCATCGTATTTATTCGATTAAACGCCGTGGCGTTTAAAAAATTCTTAGCCCTTCCAATGCAGAGTTATTAAATTTCAAAATCAAATCTCATAAATTACTGACTGACAACAATTACGACAAATTATTTGAAATCAAGTTCCAATGTCTGGCTCTTTTGCTCTGACGGATAGAATAGCTATGGTTTATTCTCGTTTAATCCTTGAATAAACGCCGCATTTTTGTAAGGGCGTCATTTATAAGGATTTTTTTAAACTACCACGTTTTAAAATCGAAGGCTGCATTTAATCGAGTATAGACAGAATCCCCAGGTAGTAAAACAAAATCAATCTTAGCCAACGGAAAGTTCGTCGAAGATATCAGTGGTAGATTCTACTACCCCGGGTTAGTCTGGCAGCATTTGTGCTCTCATGGGAAGTTCGTGCTGAAAGAAAATTCTTGTTGCCAGTTTTGTAGCCCGCACCGAGGCTTTTCAGAGGGGGGGGGGTCAAAAAATTAGTCTAACAGACTATGCATGAATACTAGGTTGGGGAATAAAATGTCTTAAAACTTTACAAACTGTGGATAAAATGACACCAAAATAACAGCAGTTGTAAAACTCGATGTTGTCAGTTTTTTCCATAGCCAATGGGACTCTTCACTAGTGACGTAACGAAGCTAGCATGAAAACGAGGCTGAGAAATAAAACTTCTTATACCTTTATTAACTGTGGATAAAACGAAACCAAAATAACAGGAGACATACAACTCAATGTTTCCAGTGTTAGCCTAAGCCAATGGGATACGACACTAGTCACGTGAAGAATCTAGCATAAAACGAGGCTGCGATATAAAGCTTCTTATAGTTCTTTTAACTGTGAATAAACCAAAACCAAAATAACGGGGATATAAAACGCACTGTTGTGAGTGTTTGCCTAAGCCAGTGGGACGCTGCCACTAGTCTCGTCACAAAGCTAGCATGAAAACGAGGCTGAGCAATAAAAACGTATTTTAGTATTTATTCAAAATATTTCCCCGATTCTGATTGGCTAAAAGCACAGGTGGTGGGAGAGACGTTCCCATCAACTTCGTACCACTCTACGATAACCCGTTGAGCCCCCTAATATAAACATACAAATTCTCCAAACCGATTTCTATACATTTCCTTTAAGAACTAGTTGGGAGAATTTGATAAAAGATCACGGGTTTTTTTATTTGTGATCATTTTATTAATTCTCTTGGACTTTGCTCTTGACAATATATGGATATCGTTCGGAGAATGTTGGTCACCATTGGGACTTAAAGGGTTAAGAAGGGGTATGGAGGCTAGTACTATTTAAAAAAAACCGTATCGTACAAGAACAAGATATCGCAGCTTCAAAAACAAACGCTATACCAAGGTACATAACAAGGAGCACCCACTCTACCCGCTTTTGGGGCTTAGTTTCCTGGGTGGTAGAAGGCACTGACAGGGGCAAAATGATTTTAGACCATAAAATGTTTCGTAACAGAAGTAACCTTATATCGTCCCAGTTCTTAATGGTGCGTCGAGTGTTAAAGTGATCTTAAGGTGATGTTACACAACGATTTTTAGTGCGGCACATCGTTGCAACATTGTTTTGAATAGTTACAACATTCTTCCAACATTGCAACGCTGTTTTGCGCTAAAAAAACGTCATTACTTATCGTACCGTGTAACATCACCCTTATGGTTTGCGCTCGGTTCTGACGAAACTACGCAAACCATATTTATATCCTCTAAAATAAACCGGAATTATTCCTGGCATTCTTGCAAAATTTTTTGACATTTCAAGAACAAGAAAAAAATCCCTGACTTTTCATAGACGCTGGCGGGTTGGGCTGCAACAATGCATCGGTAGCCTGCGAATACAACAGTCTCCCTCGATTCGGCCCGAAAAAGTTCATACTGATGACGAATATTTGTCCGCAATTTGGTTAATGAGCGCTGATTGGTCAATGTAGTAATTCTATTCTTTTGGTTATTGTTCACTAATGACAGACAAAAAAGACGAAAGGCCACAAAAATTAAATGCAAACGCCGGCCATTATGCGTGGAATATACCCTTTACAAGAATAATGTAAGTTTTTTCGTTCGCAGAACTCAGAACTTTACAACAATAGACCAGGGGAAACGTAGATTCGAACAATTTGACATCGAGAACCCCATCATTACCAGATTAATTATGTAAACATTGCATAGTTGTGGCCCTAACTGTTAAGTGGTCATAACCAACAACTCGCTAGGAAATTGCAACGTTGTTAACTGTAGCGTAACTAGTTAGAGGCACGCGTCATTCGGCCTTGCTAAGTGTTAGAAAAGCACTACAAGTTTAAAACAAATGAAACTGTTTATTACTTCCCTTCCCCTCCCCTGCATGAATTTGCAACACCTCTCGGCAAATACTACGGGACTAAAATGGCCACTGTTTCTACAACTCAATTATGGCTTAACTCATTCACAAATTAAAAAGTGCCCGAATACCCCACTTATACATCTCCCATAATGCACATTATTTGCCCCCAAAACTTTGTATAAGCATTGTTTTCAATATCTCTTGGGACAGCTGTAATACCAAAAAGAAATGAAAAACAAAGGTTATGCAAAATTTGGGGGGGGGGGAGGGGCAAATAAGGTGCATTATCGGAGATGTGCAAGTGGCGTATAGGAACTAAATTCCCTCCACACAGTTTTCTCTCTTGGCAAAGGCCTGCTGTCCACACTTCATTAGATAGATGGATGGAAGAAACACGGAAGTTTTAAGAAGTGTAATTTGCAACAATACGCTCCAGTGAGGTTTAGTATTCGCGAGATATCAGCCTTTTTTTTCCTTTCCCCAGTTACAGTTCCAGAACTCTTTGCGAAAGTTAACCCTGCCCAGTTTCCTTAGTTCCGAGTTAACTTTCGCAAAGACTTGTGGTTACTGGGGTCAGGAAAGGTAATGGCTGATGTCTGACCAGCGCGTCCCCAGTAACGCTGCCAGCAGTTTTTTGTGAAAATTAACTCGGCTTAATGCCCCCTCGTATCTAAAGTGGCGCATTCAGCAGGTCGTATAATCATTTTATTGTATGTCAGGCGTTTTAACTTGAGACACTTTCACGTCGCTTTACCGGTGGACGGCAAAATCGACGAGAAAAGCTATGAGTGGACGCGAAAAGGTACAAACGTTTTCAAAAGAAAACGGACAAGTGTTTAGTCAGCTCAAAGCCTAGTATGAAAACAGCGACAAAACGGGATAGGCAAAAGAGAGCTCTGCTTAAAAAAAAACTCACAAAAGAGCACATATTTGCGTGTCTTTGTCTGTCATTCAAGAATATTTAAAGGTTGCACGGCTTGCTTTTTCACTGATGCGTGGTAGTTATTCGCATCGTCTACGGTTACAAAGCACATTTTACATATTGTTGATTCGTCCTGGTCTCAGTACTGTTAACCTACGTGCAAACGAACGCAACAACTCCCGAAAATGTTGGGAGTTGTTAGCCAAAAATGCTGCGTTCGTTTACACGGGGCTAAAAGTTTGACCGGTTTCAAGCGTTGCGCAACAACTGCCAACAACACGCAATACTATAACATGCAACAGGGTGTACAAACGGACGCAACATGTAACATCCAACAATGCTAGGAGTTGTTGGCCAACAATGTTGCGTCCGTTTGCACAGGGCTTTAAACATCCGAACGTCATTTCTGACCGGGCTGAACACCAATTATAAAAAGACATCCCCTGAGCGCACTGTACATTTCTCGTTAAGAGATGAAATTCTTCTCAGTAATTAGAATTCAATATAAAACGTTCCTAGATTGAGTAAAAATTGCAGACCCGTGAAACCTTGTCACACTGTAGCATTATGTGTAGGCGTAGCAAAGTCTATACCGTCCTCTTCATCGGAATGGTCTTCTGAGTTATCTAGACGCGCAGACGTAGCCAAAGGAGACCCTAAGCTCGGTACCATAGCAACCAGAATCAGGGCCAAACAGTCGGCTACTTGAGGGTTGGGGGCACAAGCGAGAGCGGGATTATGACCGTCCTCATCCTCGGTCAGTAAATTGGCGCCTCTGGCTATTAGCTCCTGGACAACTGGTACCAGACCGTTTCGTGCGGATAAGTGTAAAGGCCTGTTGAAGCAAAAGCGAGGGAGCCGCTTTGAAATTTTACCGCTGTGTAAAAATGGTACATGTCTAATATGCTATGCAGCTTACGACAGAGGTTCGCCCTCTGTTCAACGTAGCACACTTTTGTCCACCCACAATAAACAACAGCATTAAGCAAAGCAAAGGCACAGTTCGGCTAGGTCAGTGGAGCAAATCCACGTTAAGTCACTGTAAGTACTCGTATGCTCTGTTTGCAGTTAACCCACTATTAAGGTTAACAGATATTCAAACAACTTGGCACTAAAAGGCATATTTAACAATTCCAAACTTCGTTACTGATCGTGTTTAATCACAAACTTGATTTACTGAAATTTCCGTTTTGCGCATTGGTTCGTAAGTAAACGAATAAGCAACAAGAGCAAGATGCGAGGAGCAAGCGTCTCTATCGCTGGTAGGGAGGGAGGCTTCTCTTACCGAAGCTGTCGCTGTCTACTTACGTTTGAAGAGCGTTATTTGCCAAACTGAGAAAGCCATCCTCCATTTTGTCCAGGATCAAAAGAGCACAGGCCGCGTTACCCTGAAGCGGAACATGAGCATTTATTAATGACGTTGTTGTAAACTTAGCAGCTTAGCAGACCAAACCCACCTTTCTGTTTGGTGGTATTTTCATGAAAGACAACTTAATCGAGAAAGAAAATTCAAGATTAGAAACAAAACCACCCCATGTACAAATGTATAGAAACTGAAGTTATGAGTTAAAGTTAACTTCAAGGATTCGTTAAGTCAGCATTTTCGCAGTCAAAATATGCGCGCTTTCAGTGTCATATTTTAGAACCCTTGAAATTCGAATTTGGAGCTGGTAAATGATTCCTCGCGCTAGGAAAAAACGATCGTATCACAGGGCCTTAAGGTCTGAAGTCCCGTAAAAGCTGCTACTTCCATGGGGTCAAAAGGGAAACTAGTCGTTTCGATACAAAGTCATTTATACGCATGGTCGTTTCAAAACGAACTCAAGCAGTGAAACTGCACATAAATTTCGTTTACTTTAAGTATAGTTTGGGGGTGAACAAGAAGCATTTTGGGTGAATATTCTTCGTTCTTTAAGGAAAGTACGCGAGGTGTTGCGCAAAGTTTGAAACCGGTCCAACTTTAAGCTACGAGCAAATGGACGCACCGTTGGCCCAAAAATGTTGGGAGTTGTTGCGCCCATTTGCACGTAGCTTAACAAATGGATAATTCCTCATTGACGGTTAATCTGTCTTCAAATTTGAACCTAGACGGAAACGAAGACGGATTTCTGTTCAGTTTTGACTAGTACCTATTCTTTCCCTTCCTTGAAACAAAAAATCCCTCTAAAATTTGTCCCACGAATTAGTGGCCTGACAGATAATCCGTCTCTAGAATAAATTTGGAAAATGAAGGCTACACACACGCTCTCTCCTCCGCCGCAGAGGCTGCCGCTGGGTATCTCGTGCCAATAAAAGTAGCAATGATTGAAAAATTGAAAGCGCGCGGGGGACGATGGGAAGGGCGAAAAGGCGGGAATCTCTCCTATCTCTTCCTCCTTCCCACTGTGCCCCGCACGCTTTCTTTTTCTTTCTCCCCAGCCTCCCTACAACGCAAAGAGGCCTCTGCGGAGAAGAGAGCCACACAAGCGTAAAAAAGTTCCCGTCACAGAATTTTTCTCACCTGGCTACAAGCGACGTGTAAGGCGGCATTTTTATTGTTATCAGCTACATTTATGTCCGCTCCACCATCGCCAACAAGAAATTCTGCAAAGGAAAGAGAATATTAATTTGCAACAAACATGAATGAGCTTGAATAGACCCCTACGCGAATTTGTTTCCTTTTGACAAACGGTTGTTAGCGAAAATCCATCAACAGGCTGGAAAGAACGCCTTAAAATCAGTAAAGGTGCCAAGTTTGAATGTGATTTGTTCAGAAGTTACAGTCCCGCAAAATGGCGGAATTTTACATACGTTTCACTGGATGAAAACACGGATATGCACAAATTTCCTCTTTGCAAGTATGTCGCAAATTTGGAAAAACTGAGGAGTAAATCTGGGGCAAATGCCACATCCGCCTAGTAATTTACACCCCCTGGTATGCAAATGTGGCCTTTACCATCTTTGTCCCAGATTTACTCCTCCGCTTCTAAAAAAATAATTTGCGACATATGTGCAAGGATCAAATCTGTGCAAATCCATTGTTTCGTCCAAGGTTTGTATCGTGGGGGAAGGGGGGCAAGCCCGTGCCCCCACCCCCCCTCCCCACCACACAAACGTCTGTAGATTTCGCCAATTAGTAGTGCAATAACCTTCTTTGGACCTACTACCACCCTAAACTAGGTAAGTTACTTTCTTTTAAGGCCGTCTTTCCAGAAGTGTCGATGGGTATTCACTTACTGCACTTTATCAGAAGTGGAAAAACCGTGGAAGAGTTTATTCATGAAAGCGTAGTTTGTTTGTAAGAAATAAACAAGTAAGTTTTCCATTCTTAGCGTTTAGAATGTTCAATCCGTATTTTGGGGCGGTTTTGTTTTTGGTTTTTTTTTTTTTTTGGGGGGGGGATAGCACCACAACTCATTTACCAACTTCTTCCTCAGAATTGCGGCTGAAACGATCTGTTTAAAGAGTTGCTACTGTCCTAGCTGTCTATCGGTCCTATCTATCATTGTCTATCACGCGAAAGATAAACCGTACGTTAGTCCATTAGATTGCAGAATTCGCCTAGAGGGTTTCTATAAAAATAATAAAAGGAAAGCTCGGAGGAGCAGAATCTATGAGGGAACATATGAGTTTAGACAGCACGGAAAGTTGAAGCTAGTAGATTAGCCATATTCTCTCACCGAATGCTGTTTCTTGTTCTTGTTCCCTGACTTGAGCCAACTTACCTACAGCGCCAGCATGCCCATTGTCAGCGGCCATAATGAGAGGTGTTCTACCACTCTGATCCACGGCGTCAACATTTCCTCCTCTGGACAGAAGAAGCTGAAGACATTCTACCTGATCATTAAATGCTGCGGCGTGTAAGGGTGATCTGTAACCATCAAGAGAAAAAAAAATGGGATGTCTAAGACTAACTTTGATTTCAACGCCTGGTTTGTTCCCTGCATTCCGTTAAATGTTATTCTATCAAGAATGTCTTCGGGTTTTTTTATACTGCGGTGTTTGCACCATGCCGACGCATCTTTGGCTGAAGACCAAAGCCACAGGTGGCGACTTGATCGAAAACGGAAGCCGCGCATGATAAGTCTGTGGCACCAAGGGTAAGACTCAACCGACTACAACCAAATTTAAGCCAAAACTGAAATAAGGTAAAAAAAAAAAAAAACAGACCCTTTGGTTGTGCATTTCCCCTCGTCGAATATATAAGGGTGTAGCCATGGAACGTAAACAAGGACATTACAACAAAGAAGCTTTTTAACTTTAACCTGAAAGAAGTAAAGTGCGATTCCATGTCATTTGGGAGCTTAAGCAAAGACCTTTTTGAGCGACGCACGTTAAACGGAAGTGTGGTCTTCTTCCTTTTACTGTGCCTTTACGTGAGTAAATTTGTATTACTAAGTGTCTTAACTCATAAAGAGAAGACACCTGAGAATTATGGGAAAACCACTGCCCGAGAATGCAAAAAGTCTACTTCCGCTTGACGTTCGTCACTCAAAACAGCTCATATTGCCCACCTGTCTTTTTTATCACACATGTTGACTATTTCATCTCCTAGCGTATCTAGCAACATTTCTGCACAGGATTCGTAGTCGTTTATCCTAAAAAAAAGGGAAAATAGAATTGTATCTAGATGGTAGCTTTCTTTTAGTTCAGTTTCTACTCAACCTTGTACCCGGATAGCATCCCACGCAGACGTTCTTAGGGAGTCGCCACGCATCATGTACCCGGATATTGTCACTGCGCGGTGTTACATTTCCAATAACTGGCTAGCCTGTTCCAGGCGTTCAGATAGTAGAGCGCGGCGGTAAGTGGGGAGCGAGTTAAGTTGTACACCGGGAAAACGGGGGGGGGGGCAAGAGCGAGAGAGTCTCCCCTCGTTTTTTTTTTTTTTCTTCGTGAATTTTTCTCCCGCGCTCTACTATCTGAACGCCTGGAACAGGCTAATAACTGGAAAATCATTCATTCTGGCGTAAGAAATGAAAAAAAGATGTGTTCAGAACTAGACTGTTCACAGTCCCCTATTTTCGCGTAAGATCGTCGAGATCGAGCGCTTTGCGTTACGGGCTGCCATCTTGCATGAGTGTCAAAACCACTTAGGGGGCATGGGGCGGTTTGAGAGGAAGCGAGAAACATTTCCCCCTAGAGCTATAATCCCAGGCGCCCGCCCCTAGGTACATTTGAAAATCAAGATGGCCGCCATCAATGGTATGACGCGCATAATCTCGACGATCTCACGGAAAAATAGGGGACTGTGAACAGTCTAATTCAGAACAGAACCGGCAAACTCAACCTTCAAATTATGGCGCCGTTACTGGAACTGGCATCCAGCCCACGAGGTGGGGGAAAGCAAGTGCTCTCGCCACAGCACCAAATAATATTGTAAAGCAAACTAAAGGCAATCCTTTTTGCATCCCGTGATTGGCCAAATATGCCGGACAAATGAGGTGCTTGTTTCAGTTTCATTCGCAAACACAGATAAGTAATTTGGGACAGAGACACCAGGTAAATTCCATTCAAGAGAAGAGTCAATACTTACACAGCGCAGTGAAGTGGCGTAAATGGATTGCCATCAAACGCCTTGGAATTGTCTCCCTAAAGATAAATACAGAATATTTCCTTTCAGAAATAACAGATTAACAGTGCGACAATCAGTGAGCCCAAGCAATGCATCGTGGGGCCAAACCCACTTTTGAGTGCGATCCACACTATAATTATAATTTAATAACATGCAATACAACGGGAATCGAGCCAAGGGCCTTCCAAAATACTGGTCATGGGTTTGAATCTCATTAGGAACTCGGAATTTTCTTTTTCCGAGTTGGACCGTGACATTATCGTTCGTTCGTTCGTTCGTTCGCGTTCGGTCGGTCGGAATGAAATCAAAAGTTGACCAGTGTCTAGAACTACTTGGAAGTTGGTTCGTACAAGAAGTTAACTGGAGTACTTATGCTTGCAGTTGCCAGCACAGGGACTTGCTATTGAAACTGAGTCGGTTCACAGGGATTTCCGCATCATATAAAAGAGTCCCCTAACCCTTGGCTTTAAGCTCCTTGTATTAAAATAATATCAGAGCTTTATGAATCAAAGTAATCATGAATATTAATGACATGGCCAAAAGAACAAATTTACAGGGGACAGTTTCCTCCTACTACTTCTAAAGGAAATGAATAGGGTAAACAAATGAGAATTTAAATGTTGACAGTACAGTCCCCCCGCCCCCCGTACAAACTGTAACAAAATGAACACACAGATGAGAACGTATTTCGTACCTCTAACAAGATATCCACGCAAGTATCATGACCTGTCAATGAAACAACATTAAGAAATATACCTCTTAGAAGCAGTTCATTTATTAGCAAAGACAGCAAAATAGGCAATACGCTGGCCCACACAGCGACTGACACTGGTTGGTGCTGCAAATGGCACTCAATGGGTATATTTTAAGATTGTTATCGCTTCTTTTACTGGCTATTACAAGGTTGCGTAGAAAACTGGACCAAATTTCTCCCCCAAAACAGTCCGAGAGTGCAATTCAACACAACACCGACCCAGCGTCGAACGCAGCCTCAAAATGGCTAATACTAGTCAAACTAACGGTAAGTTTGAGTTTTACTTATCCTGGAAGTATCCCTGCATGTACAGTACAGGGAAAACCCCGTATACAAAACAAGCAAAGAATCAGTGCATTGTAAACGTACTGAATCCTAAAAAAATGTATTGTGCCGTGGCGGATTCAGTGGCCGCCTGCTTACCAGACCCTAAAGTAAGAGGGGGCTCGTCCTCAAAAATTATATTTGGAGTCCCTGCGGGCTCAGTTTGGCGTAGAAATAAAGGGGAGGCGGGGAGACTCGGTTTGCAGACAAGCTGGCCCTTCGCCGAGAAACAACGTTTTTCCCTGCGGGTATTCTACTCTAGGTATAACCAAACGAACACTGCGCTGTTTGTTTCACGGTGCTTGCCTCAACTAATAAATTATGCTATTCAATTGGCACGAAGGGGGCATTAGTTCTTACCGTTAAAACAAGCCCAGTGAAGCGGCGTGTATCCGTGATTGTCCATGTGAACACCACTACCTACGACTTGTAAGAGACCATTGAGAATGCCAACATGGCCACAAGCTGCTGCAAAATGAAGAGGTGTGCGACCATTGCAATCTCTGAAAACGAAAGAGGGGCATAAAGGTAAGAAACAGGGTAACACTCCAGTGATGCAATCCTATTTAACCCTTTAAGCCTTAAGAGTGATCAGCATCAAATTTCTCCTTGTAATATCAATGCTTTGTAAAACAGAGTGGTCACGAGAAATACGGACATTATCACACAAGATGAATTCGCCTGATATTTTAACAACTTCTCCCCACTACTTCTGTAGGAAATGAATAGGGGCGACAAATGAGAATTCAGATTTTGATCTTAGGGTTTAAAGGGTTAATTGACAACTTATGGAGAAATTAAACAAAAATGACGCTACATATTACTTTAATTACGAACTCGTATCCAACCTACCTACAAAGAGAATCTGCTTCCCTGTGTAACAGAGATTCAGCGCAGTCATCGTGACCATTTGCTGCCTGATAAATTTAAAAAAAGATACAGGGAAACTAAATCAGTTTAGCTTAAGCTGTGCTCAATGTCTGACAGCATTTTGACAATATTGTCCATTTCGTAGAAAGTAAGGATAAAGTGAGGTTTCTGGGAAACTTCCCACATATCTCTTCCTTAAGCCAATATTTGCCCTAAGTGAGAAGTAAGTGTTAATGTTGGCTTAAGGGAGGGGTAGGTGGGCAGTTTCCCAGAAATTTCAATTGAAAAGAAAGTGCAAACACGTACATTTTTCAATAACTGAAGTACAAAACACACCGCAGTACAGTTAATCTCGGTCAGTTCCCCTCAGAGATCCCCTCTCCTTATTCACCTACTAAAGAACCCCTCCAATAAGAATTCCAAAAATATATTTATTGTACAATTGGGGAAAAGTTCGAGCTGCATGGTCACATCACTTGATTACGATTTCCTTTGACAAAGAAAGTAGCTTTGAAAGAATTGCAAACCGCGGTTACAAAGAGAGACTCGACAGTTGCTCAAGAGTGGATGGCTTTTAACCTGAAAGCCCAAAAGGATGAAATCTAGCCTGTGTACAGACCACCCCCCTCCCTCCGCTCAGGAAAAATCGGAGGGGAGGGGGGGGTCTGTACACAGACTGGATGAAATCACACCACCCTAATTTTTTGAACAAAACAATTACGGAAGAAAGAAGTCAAGAAAGTTATATTATAAAGGTCTTGCTGCTGCTTACAGCTCTGTGAAGAGCACTTCGATGATACATATCCAAGGCTAACATATTGGCGCCTTCACTGAGTAACAGGTTGGCACAGTCCACGAATCCATTGCCGACTGCAGCCATTAAAGGAGTCCTGTAAAGAGAACAAAACGTAGAGCACATTATTACCAACAGACCAACAGACAATGGGTTGAAACACTCAGGTTGGCTCTGCTGGACAGATAGAGGGTCTGACAAAATAGACTACGAGCAGTCTCTCTTTTTTCTAGGTCCGTCGAGCAAAACGCGCGAGACACGCAAATGACCACACACGTGACTGAAGGCGTGACACCTCGTTTCTTGCGTCTCACTGATTCGCCGCTCGACGGTCGCCTTCGCGTGCACTGCCCCGACTAAATCTGAAGAAAAACATGCTAAATATTAAAGCAAACTTTTACTCTTTGGCGACTAGGAGATCTTAGTTTCTTCATACAAATCATATGGTGGACACCCTAGATTTTACAGTTTCAGAGCACCGGGTCCCCTTGCCAAAGGAAGAGACTTTTATAGCAGTCTGATTAATCAGTATCAGCTACTTCAGTTGAATTTGCGCAATAGAAATGAATAAATGAATGGATGACCTTGATCCATATTTGAAAGTCAGGGCCAAGATTTGTGTGAACAATCCCAAAGCATATTTCTTTTTAGTCTTGATTCATACTCCGATGTTCGCTACTTTGCTAGAGTTGTCCCGAACAGTTAATTTCTTCAACTTAAGACAAAATGAACTGAAAGAACCTACAACTAACCTTTCTTCAGCATCTGCGCAGTCTATCGCAACCTCTGTTTGGCTGTATTGTAAAAGAAGTCTTAAACAGTCCGTGTGCCCATTATAAGCTGCAAACCAAAAGAAGGTACTGTTGAAACTCTCTACAAAGGCCTCTTGGGGACAGGAGAAAGTGGCCATTGTAGAGAGGTGGGCGTTGCCGAGTAGAGAGCTTGAAACAAGAGTGAATGTATGGACTGTCCGACAAAAAAATGGCCGTTGTAGAGAGGTGGCCGTTAAGGTTAGTTGGGGTTCGACTGTGTAACAAACTTTTTACTGTTTGGACTCAACAAGGGCCAGGGGTATCTATACAAAAATTGAACACACATGAACTTCCTTATAAGTTGGAACAAGAGTGAATGTATGGACTGTCCGACAAAAAAATGGCCGTTGTAGAGAGGTGGCCGTTAAGGTTAGTTGGGGTTCGACTGTGTAACAAACTTTTTACTGTCTGGACTCAACAAGGGCCAGGGGTATCTATACAAAAATTGAACACACATGAACTTTCTTATAAAAATGCTCAAACACATTCATTCTTTTTATTGCAAATAACGAAGCAGTGCTGTATTTACAAATCTTTACCTGCAGCATGTAGCGGTGTCCTCTTTGTAACATTGTCATAAACTAAAACTTTGGCATTATGTTCTAAGAGACATTCGACACATTCACTGCAAAAGAAAACAGAGGAGACAATCATTTTGTCATTCCGGACTAGTAAGGGAACCAAGCAAAAGGTTTTAAAACACTTTATGTCAAGCAGAAGCTGCACGAATTGAAGGTAAATCTTGGTAATCTCAGAACGAAAAGCACTCATACCAACAACTAAGGAGCTTAGAGGAGCTTAATTTGAGAGGAGTGACAGGTTTCACAAGGTCTCACAAAAGTGGCTCTACACCATTCAAGACAGGTACAATAAAGTAAAGAACCGAGATGATGCCCCAGGTCGATAAACTACAGCAAATTCAACAGTGAGCATTACAGCAAATGACCCCGTTACTTAGACACGTTCACTCGCTGCTTTTATCACAAAAACTCTTTCTAGTTTATGAAGTATTGACATAATCAACTGTTTTACATCTTTAACATTTTATCAAAATATAGCACAAAATTTAAATGGAAATTTCCGGTTGAAGAAAAGTGTTTCTATCCTAACCGAGCAAAATAGGACAACCTTTTCACAAGACCCACTCATCTGAAAAAACTGTACCATAATTGAATGTAAATGGAAACAACCACAAGGCCATAATCATAAGGGATAAAATTAATACTGATACATACGCGTGTCCTTGAAAAGAAGCAAAATAAAGTGGAGTATGACCTATAAAAAAAATAATAAATGTCTAGATAAAATTATCTAGTTTTTTAATCTAGTCATTAAATTTAAAGGGTGAAAAAGCACCAAAATTCAACTTACCATTAGAATCCTTGATATCAATGTCTAGAAAAGACTCTAAAAGAACTTGAAGAGCTTGAAAATGGCCATGATAAGCCTACACGACAAACAAAAGAGCCACAATGATTTCTCAGTTCAAATATTCCAAAGGTATCATTCTGAAATTATCTTTCAGCTTTTTACAGCTCAAAGTTTTGAAGAAAACATCCTCAGTAAAAGGACTAAAAATTTCTCGCTAAGAGTACAGTGTAAACTAAACAATACATAAATGCAGCAGAGAACCATTTTGAAGTTATTTTTACAAAAATGAATTTGTTTAAAAATGTTTCACCACCCATGTCCCTTTTGGATTTTCTGTTCTTTCCGTACAGTTATAAAAAGGTTATGTTGTGTTATTTGCTAAAAAGCCAAAATTCGTCTTCCCATCAATTGAATTCCAAAAATAATGGTCCAGATTACAGTCAGGCATTAAAACTGTTTTTCATCTTCTGCTGTAGCAGATGAGAAGGATGGACATGGACTGGCCCAACTTTTTCAAGTCTTCATGCGATACACGTATCACCAAAAAAAGATTATTATGATTAGTAATCCCTGACCAAAATTGGTTGATATCTTCTTCATATCTCTAACAGAGCATTTTGTGCTTCGGAAAAGCCATTGAGTATTGACTTCAGCATAGAATCGACCTAAAACAACAATATCCTCGTGACATAGCCCCTTCAAGGCGTAAATTTGAATTCTCATTTGTTACCCCTATTCATCTGCTACAAAAATAGTGGGGAGAAGTTGATAAAATATCAGGCAAATTCATCTTGTGTTATCTTGTCCGTAATTCTCATGACCACTCTGTTTTACAAAGCATTGATATTAAAAGGAGAAATTTGATGCTGATCACTCTTAGGGCTTAAAGGGTTAATGATTAGTTGGTAATTAATGCTATTATACTACTACATGAAAAATTACTGCAATTTGATTGGCTTAGAGCAGTGGTATTTCAGCTTAATTTGAAATACCTACATGTGAAAATTACAAACCTTCTAAGGGTAGTAGTATAAACAAATAATAGCATGATTTGACGTGATATTTGGCATAAATACCACTCGTGATATTTCAAAATTGTCTCAAATTTCACTCGCCTAAAGGCTCGTGAAATTACGTATAACAATTTTGAAATATCACTCGTGGTATTTATGTCAAATATCACTACAGATCATGCTATTACCTATACAAATTGCCACAACTTCCAAGAACTAGACACTATATTATACATTACGAAAAAAGTAAAAAGCTGTTCCCGCTAGGGCCATGAAAATCAGGTGATATTATCTTATGATGCTTAGAGATAAGGAACTGGAAGTGACTTTGTGTTTTAGCATTTGGGCCACAGTATAGGAGGGGCAGGGCAGGGAACATTAAGCTGGCACTCATAACCCTTAATATAAAATAAGTAACTTTCAATTCACTGTTTACTGTAACTTACCACTAAGTGAAGTGGAGTTGTTGCTGGAAAGCCTGTGATTTTATTTAAAAGATCTGTTGCAGCTACATCTAATAACTAAAACGATATTAATACATTATGTCAGAATAATTATAGGAGTTTGAAGGAGAGGTAACATTTACTAAAAAGTTGGGTGTGTATACAGAAGTGATCATGCATTTTTTTTCCTATTTCAGAGACACCTGACTTTCATTTCTTTAAGATTTTATTACTATGTGCCAAAGTTTTTTGGAGTTTTGAAAATGTCCCTCAAGGATTTCAAGGACCAAAATGAATGAATGAATAATTCCTTCTTTCTTAGTCAAGTGTACTCTTTGTTGAGTTACATACCTTTTCTTCTCTTCTTTTCTTTACTTTTAAAAACAATAAATTTTCCATTCAGTACCCTTAACTCACATGGTTTACCCTATATTGCTAGGAAACCTATAGTGTATAAGCGTCTATATAGCCTTCCTTTTCACAACCATTTTGTAAATAATTTAGTTAGAATAGTGTCTATTATCTTTAATGTTTATTGTTGTTGTAGGCGTGCAAAGAAAGTAGTGTCCAGTAGCCTGGGGCTGGTGGATTTTGCTATCGGGCTAGTGAATTCTGTTTTTAACTTGCCCGATGGACAAGTGATGTTTTATGAGGAATTCGAATAACAGAAGAACTGTGAAATCAATTCTGCTGGTCAAAAAGTTTTGGGGGCTAGTTGAAATGGTGTCTGGGCTAGTAAATGCTAGCTTCAGCTTGCCCAAAAGGCAAGCTGTAAATAAAATTATTTTCTTTGCACCCTGTGTTGTATTCTTATGCGGTTAATGGCAAAGGAAGGAAGGACGATTTCAAGGACTTAAAAAAAGGTTTCTAAAATTCAAGGGTTTTCAAGACACTACAAACCTTTGTCATTCACATTGCTAACACCTACAGCATTTAATTTCCAAGCCTACCATTTCTAGTGCCAGTTTATGTCCTTTAGCAGCAGCATAGTGTACTGGACTGTAACCTTGTTTATCCCTTTTACTAGCATTAGCTCTATTTCTTAGTAAGTGTTCCACACATCTGCAACGAACAGGAAATTAACACAACTAACATTATTGCATTCACCGCATAGAGGCAAATTCTGCATTTATAAGATAGCAAATGCCCCATGGGGGGTGCACCAGATTTCAAGTGACAGGGATGACCAAAGAGTTTTTTTGGGTTTGAAATTTTGAATTCGGGATTTTTTGGGGGTAGGAAAATTTTGGCAAGTATTTTTTTAGGCAGCTTGATTTAAGTAGGGAATTTTTGGGGTATTCAAAACAATCTGAAGATTCGTTATAGTTATATCATTTCATGCTTTCTGGAAATTTTATGGCTCTGGAATTGGGCATGGGATTTTTGGGGGGGTTACATTTTGGTACAGATAGTTTTGGGGGGTTTGATTTTTGCCCCCATTCAATCATCCCTGTCACTTGAAATCCAGAGTACTCCCCTGGGCTACACATGCTCTGATTGACCCAGAGGCATGTTTGCTTGAGAGTAAGTAAAAAAGGGTTGCGATGTCTTTGTAACTCTATAACAACAAAAGGGATGAATGTTGTAAAAAATGGCGGCATTGCTTACTTGGCATCTTTATCTGCAGCAGAGGCATAGTGAAGCGGTGTGCATCCCCTTGTATCAACTTTATTTACAATGCAACCTGATGCCACTAAGGACTTCACACACAAGTAATGCACATGACCTGCTGCATAGTGAAGAGCGCTCCTATGATGACAACAATGTTAACATTAATTACAACCAGCTAAATTCACTGATGTGATTGGGTATCATCAGAAAGTATGATAGGAAAAGGCTGCTAAATCTGAAAGTAACAAGGGTCATTACTTTCCAAACTTTACAGTATAAACATTATCAATAATAACTTTAATCATTTGTACATGTTACAGGTCAAATTTGATTTCAGGTTACTTTTGACTTAACCTAGGTTGATTCTCAATTTCCTTTGTTTCCTAGCCCTAATTCATAAATTAGGGTTAATTATTTTTTGAGGTTTTTAGCTTTCTGTGTGTAACTGTGTTTTTCAACGTTACTATTGTAACATTGACTCTGAAAAGCTTTGTGTTGACAAGCCAATAAAATATTATGTTTGTATGGAAAATGGAAAATCTTCAAAGTACATACCTTCCCAGTTTATCAACAGCAGTCAAGTCAGCACCATTGTGCAACAGAAGTCCTAGACATTCAACATTCCTAGGATAACAATATCATTGAAGCATTTACTGACAGTCAAAAAAGCACCACCCCTAATGAGTAAAGTTAAAGAAAGCCAGTAATTGACAAAACAATGTTAGCTCCCCTTGATGGAGTTTCATAATAGCCATCTCAAGCAACTGCAACAAAAGATGGATTGAGACACACCAATCACATTGAGAGTCTTTGTAGCCAATAACATCACAGCAGACGATAGACAACAGACGACCAATAACATTGCCACTTAATTGACCAATCAGGCCAATAACCAGAGTTCAATACCATAAACTGATATGATACAATGCACTTTGTCACTGAAGATGGCTACCAGGCAGGTTGTCTAAACATCACTCACTGTCACCAACAGTCCTATTATGATCAACTAGATGATCATACTCCACCAACCTATGAAATGACTTCTCAGTTCAAACTATTAACTACTCCACAACAGTAAATTCATATTGTACTGTTATGGACACTTACACAAGGATAGACATTTTTAAAAGACACACACTTGGTGGAGGCCCCTTCCTGCCTTTTCAGTCACTTTTACTTCAGCCAACCTCTCCATAAGACAGACCCTTCATTAAGATGGACAGTTGGAGCCACTTCCAACAATGTCCATCCTGGTCAGAGTTGACTGTATTACAATGTATATGATACAAATAATGTGTGTGACTTACCCACTACATGCAGCAGCATGAGCACATGTGTGGTCATTATCATCTTTTGCATTTACATCATTTCCTAGAAATAGAAAGAGAATGCTTCAGTCACTCAGAGGTATGTACAAGATACTATGATTTATATTTCCTCTACTGGTGACTGCTGGTAATTTTTTTTTAGTTAAAACCAAATAGTGGTCTATTACCAAAGCTGCATTCTGATTGGTTGAGCTACTACAAGGCTATGTGTTATAGCCCACTAGTAGCCAAAAACGCTGGCTTTGAAAACCAAAACAGTGGTGGCTGAATCACGTATTGCTAGCTAAAGTTGTTTTGTCTCAATATTTTTGACCAACTAGTTGGATTTTACTAAAACAATAAGATTATTCCTCTCACCCTCATGGCCTCTAAGTCAATAGTCCATTTGGCCTTTGGCCTCATGGGTTATTGACTCAGAGCTCATTTGGGCTCGAGGAATAATTGTTAAATAACAGCAAGGCTTTAGAAAGATGAATTTTGTATTTCTTTTATGTTTAATGATGAACTACTTGCCCATTGACACAACTTATATAACAGCTGATCAGTGATTACTCACCATATGAAATAAGTTTCCTACAGCAGTCTGTATGTCCACCTAAGCTTGCCATGTGAAGAGGTAACATTCCAAATGAACCCCGTCTACAAAAAATAATACAAAGTACACATTAGACTTCTATCTAAGTATGCAAAGAAGATTCATTAAGCTTGCCTGTATTAGCCCAAGAGTCATTTTAGCTAGCTGGAAAAAAATTGTTTGACAAGCAGGATTGATAATCAATACATATTTACTGATTGATACAGGTAAATTACACCAGTGGTGAATTAATAATATTATTATTTGTTTTATCAATTCATTGCAATAATAATTGTAATAATTTCACTCCACCAGGTCAGCTTGAAAGAACGCTTTCGATCTACATGAATTATTTCATCACGAATTTAAACAATTTGACTTGAGTTCTTCTGTAATTCAAATTCTTCCAAAAACCTTCACTTCCCTGTAGTATAAGTTAAAAACAGAATTCACTAGCCCGATCACAAAACCCACCAGCAATGGGCTGTCAGACACAACTTTCTTTGCTCTCCCCCCAAAACAGGAGCTTCCCTCGCAGGACACATATTACAATGTAACTCAGGGTGCCTTCTTAATACAGGTGTGACAGTATGAACACTAAAACTAGCAACCAAAGAACCCTTACCTAGCATGGGTTGCTCCACTGGCTAACAGAACACTCAGTAGTAATTCTTGACCATGTAAAGCAGCTATATGCAAAGGAGTGTTACCTCGTATGTCTGCTGCATCCACATAACAACCTTAATAAACAAACAAAATGAGGTGTACTGTCAAATGTTAAATTAGGGTTCGTCAATCTTGTCACATTGTGTGACTTAGAAATTGCATGCAATAAATTATCTCTCATAAAATAGGTGTGCCACGACCTCTTCTTGTAAGCGACCACCTTCCACATCTTTGCATTTTGGGTGGTTGCTTACAAGAGGTTCAACTTTAATAATACTGTATTGTGAAAACTCTTTAATGGCACACTTTAACACATAATTATGTCCACCCCAACAGTTTTTACTAGCTTAATCAGATCTGTAGTTCCATGTTGTTAATAAAGTTCTTTGTACATATCATACATTCTAGTTAGCATAGTGCACACAGTGAACATGGAGATCAGAGAATGCATCAAGTGATCAATAAACAATGGAAAATCATTGACCCTTAGGCTCAAAAAGTGGTCCGTTACTAGAGGTTCAAACTGTAAGGCTTTGACTGGAAAACTTTGGTCTTTTGGATTCACGGTTACTTTTGGGAGGTGGTCACACATGGAGGTTCAACTGTATTAATAATATTCTCTTATCTCCAGAGAACCAGAAAATGGTCAAATAGGCATGTTGCAGGGACGAGAAAAATGTAAGCAACCTGTCTTAAATAAATCATGAAGATGAAAGGAATTTTCATATTTTTGCTTAACCTTTACAACATTCCCTGAATCATCACAAAATCACTGAATTTCTATTACAATCCTAAAAATTGCTCCACCTTTCCTATAAAATCTGGAAAACAACTGGGTACACCTGTACTTACATGGGAATAGGAAACTCGCTATTTTCAAGCACAGCCGAGGATTTGAATTCAGGAAAACAGAAAACAATAATTAGATTGTACAAAAGGTCAGATTGTCTCAAGGAAACTCTTTAGAGTTAAGGAAGCAGATAATTGATTGTATTATACCTACACTGTAATAGTTATCTTCAGTACAAGGGATGCAGTATAAAGCTCTTACCATTTTGCAGAAGCGTTTGAGCTCTTGAGCAGCGACCATACAAGGCAGCATAATGAAGAGGCGTTCTCCCACTCTTACACTTAACAGAATTCAAATACAAGTTTAACCATTACAAACTCTCCACCATAAAAAAATAATTTATTCACTGACAATGAGGGCAACACACAACAAACCTGCAAGTTTGGATTTGCACCATCTTTTAACAGCAGTTCAAGACACACATCACCTTGCCCTGACACAGCAGCATAATGTAATGGAGTCTACAACGAACAAGAATAACCCAATAACCATGGTATAGATGTATATACATGTATGTAGTAGGTACAGATGTACTGTACTAATGCTTACATTGTATGTCCACATGCAGTTTGAGCTTTTTGAACTGACCCCTACAAATTTCACACCAACAATAAAAAAAATACATGACCCGTTGTTCTCAAAAGACC